ACTGAATTCTAAAATATGGACCTTTTTGGTTTTATTGGTTTAGGAATAGGGGTGCTTCAGGGTGGCTGGTATAAAATGCAAGCAACAAGTACAAAACACTACACCACAAGATTACTTCAGCAGGTGTAGTCAAATCTTTTAAACATTCAACTTTAAGATAGAGAGGGACACACTTTTATTCATAATGGTATAGAATCATACACACGAATGAAGGGTTCTGTGCAGGTAGGTTCATCTACATGCGCAAACGGGATTGTGTGTGTATGAACTGTATTCACAAGTAATGCATGCACAATTTAGGCACAGTCACACGTGACAACATTTATATGCATAAAGTCCACTTGGATGTGTATATACATACAATTCCCCATTTGTGCATTGTTTGCTGATACAAGAAAGTTTGTGCGTAAGTTCTGTTGTAGGTGTTCACAAGGAACCATGCAGAACTGGACATACTAGTGATGGTCAGTTGGGGCCTCTTTGAAAATGTGGTCCACATTAATGGGCATGTGCGTTACAAGAAGCAGCCACCCTCTCTCCTCTGTAGCCATCAAAAGAACATTCCATAGGTAAGCTAAACTTTGTTATATACAGTAGACTACACATATAAGAGATGGATAGTTAAGGGAATCACACTTTGGACTCTATTTACTGTACATATCTGTGGGATGTACATGAGTGGGCTTCCTGCCTTCATTATTGCATCCCTATTGTTATATACACTGTATATTCAGAGGCCTACGTGGTAGGAGCCCTGATCTCTTCCTTCCCTATCGCTTTCTGGATTCCGCTCACTATTGTTTGTATTTAGTGACCAAATACCTCTGCAGGGATCTTTCACTGGCTCATGAAGGACACGCTTCACTAGCCAGGCAACTATCTCAAAGATCATGCTACCTGCCATCTAGTGCTGTATGTCTACAGGGGTAAGATGAGCTTGTTTCCCTTCTGAACCTTCCATTGTGAGTGGGGAAGGAAGCAGATTACCAACAGGAGAGTGCTTGTCCCGGGGATGAAACATTTTACCTGCCCGAAGTCAAGCATTATTATGAGCTATGCATTGAAAGAGACTGTTCCAAGTCCACCTGTCAGGGAAGTGCTAAAAGTTCAGAGATAAGTTCTTATAGACCTTTAGAACAAAACACAAAAACAGCACTTGTATATTAAAAGCATATTAAAAACCATATAAAAATACTGTAAATCATATTCAAAAAAATCCAAGAGAGACAACAGTTACAGATTATCAAAGGAAGAGAGACAGTTGAAAAGCAGGGTTGTTGGGTTTTTTATTATTATTATTATTATTATTATTATTTATTTTTTTTTGGCAAAAGCAGCTACTTTGGCACAAAGGCAAATGCAGAAAAGAGAGACACAAACAAGCAGACAGTACAGAGAAGGCTTACAGAGTCTACCACAAGCATGCCAGAGTTCAGCACCAAAAGCACAGTTGTAGCTTTCCCCACCCTTCCTTCACAAGAGAGTCCTGTTTATTGGGAAAGAATGGAATCAGCTGCCCAAAAGCCCATTACTATTTTCCCAGTTGAAGCGATAACTGTGCCTCCATAGCCAGTTTGCAAAAAATTCGCTGAAATTCCCCGCTTAGAGCCCTCCTGGTGTGCACACAGGCTCCTTGGCAAATCAGACATAACTCTCAACAGAACTGTGATTCTAACTGATTGCTGGAAACCTCGGCTTGGGTGTGAGATTGTCCCTAAAACTACAGTCATTACAGCACAAGGGATAAGATTATCCGCATTTAATGCCAACTAGAAAGTGGCTACATTGTGATGCATTTAGCAAAGGTAACACATGTAGATCAGGTTAATAACATCCCATGTGAAAGGGCTTAGTGTGACCTCACCACAACTCAGCTGACTGAACCTGCTGAATAGCGTTCAATGTTTGGAGGTCCTTTAAGTTTCCACCTCGTCCACCCAAGTTGGCTAAGAAACAAAGTGCCAGACTCACTGGTGGTGTAAAGTAGATGCCAAGTGTAAATGGGTTAGAACATGTGAGTGTAAATGGAAAAGTAGTGTAATTTACACCCATTTGGTATTCGGTGGGAACCAAACATCAGATCTAGCATAAGCTGTTGTAATGCCCACTGAACAGAAGCTTTGCCTGCTTACACCTGCATTGATTTTTGACCCTAGCAGTGTTGGGGATGGTGCCAGCATAAATTAAGAATGAGATGGGGCTGCTTAATGCTGCATCTTTCTGTTACTTGCCTTTCATAGTACACATCTTTTCCATCATCATCTAAGTTACACTCATTTTGCATATGAGCACTTCTTTGCTACTTATGCTGATTTTCCAACTAGTTTACATTCCACATGCAGCCTACACCATCACTGAAGCTGGTTCATCTTTCACAGAATTTGCAACTGTTAATGCAGGTTGCATTTGGTGGTGTTTGGCCCAAAGGGAGTCAAACGTTCTTAGAAGATATAGAGCTAACAGTAGCAAGTCCATCAGCCAGGAGAAGTAGAGACTTGGAAACAGCTCCCTGCTCCAATTCAGACAGGTTCGTGTTTAAGGTATTGGTCTATTCTACAGTGTACACTGTCTAGCAATATTCTCTAATTAGCACAATTTAATAAATTACAGCTAAGCATGTAGAGGGCATTTCTAGGTCAAAGTCAGGAATCCATCAAATGGAGATGTGCCTCCCTAGGATTTTCCAGGAATAGAATCACATCCTTTCACTGCATTACCAATCCCAGTAGTTTAAAGTTCACCCTAATCCTCCCCGCAACCTACCTCTCTTTTTAAAAGCACAAAGAACTGTAAACACTAGCCATATACTTCCTGACCCAACCAGCAGAACAGGATCCAAAGGCAGGTGGTTACAAGGCATACAACAGTTATATTGCTGAGCTGGCTAAGTGAGAACTGACCTGCAGTTAATGAAGCTTCAGCAAGCTTCTCATGCACACTGCTTTTGAGCCAATATCTCCCCCGTTCTATCCCACTTCTCATTATTGCCAGTAGTTTTAAGACACACTTAAGACTTCCTACAAAGAGGCTGGGGAGATGTGAAATCTCAGCTGAAAAGGGAGACTCCAGCATAGGAGGTAGAGCACTGCCCGCCTCCTTACCGTTAAACCTCTCTCTGCCATGCACACAGCTGAGTATGCAATGCACTATACTACCCTGTGGGCAATTCCAGTGGGTATTTTAATAATATAATAAGCAGCTCTACTATACTTGGTGCTGTATATGAGTGCATACTGCCTCATGTAACATCCCTTTCAAGGGCCAGTGTTCCAAAAAACGTTATGGAATTCCACTTCTGCTGAGGCAAACAGAAGCAGGCTGTTAAAGAAAATAATGTCTGCTCTGTTCTATTCCTCTCCCATGCAGATGGATCACAGATCTATCCACAGGGTCACGTACAGTCACATAACAATAGCAGCAGATATTTATTTATTTGGCCATACCTGTATAGCAAACCATGGCCTATCATCTACCCTCATCACTTATCTCTCCACCAGCATTTGTTGAACAGTAAAGATCTAAGAAATAGCCAGTGTTTTCCATTCATCTTAAGAGTTAAGTTTCTTCTAAAAATTCTCCCTGTTTTTAAAGAAAGATCTGATTCTTAAAGGGAAGGCAACTTCAAATCACTCAATAAAAGCAGTTAAAAATAGTTTAAGGTACTACACCTGCCAAAGACACGAGGCCAACTTTTCAGATTTTACAATGACATTCTCCTTAAAATTTCTCTCCCCTCCATTTTGCTGCACAGAAAACCCATACAAATGGAGGAGAAAACTGTGAAACTAACTACATACAAAGCGCTGCCAAATGCACAAAGTAAAACTGAAAAAAGAATTCTCTAATCACTTACATTGTAATAAATAATATGAATAATTTAAAAAAATTCAGACAAAAGCATGATTTAAGCCGACTATATCCCTTAAGATCTTTTAAAGCTAGTACTGTAATCTGGGGACATTTTGCTACATAAAGTGTGTCTATTTAATATTTTCGCTCTCCTAAAAAGCAACTGTTTTAGTTTATCCACAGTATTCAGGGCCCATACACTAGAAACCAACTCTCTTTTCCCTCTTGCCCCCACCTCACCTTTTCCTTCTCCACTAAATTGCAGTTTTCAATAAAGACAATTGAGGAGCTGGGCCAGATGAGAGTCTGTGGCACAAACAGAACATTTCCCCCAAGTTAGAAGGAATTAGAGCTTTCAGATAGAGCAGACTATCCGTAGCAATACGACACATGCTGTAATAACCCAATTCCCAAAACAACTTGCCAAGAGCAGCACATGTTCTGACAATGAGGGGAGAGCACCAGGATCTGCCAGCACCAAGGAGTTCAAGAGTTTAAGGAACTGGTTTCCTTTAGCTGCAGAGGACACCAAGAATTCTTAAGTAGCCACAGTCCAAAGACAGCAACAGGGTTTTTTTTTAAATTCCGATACCAGGTTAATGAGAAGCTTGGGAGGATGGGCACTATATCCAGAAATCAGGTGAACACAGAAATCCAGTCTATGAGTTATTGTAGTCCAGAGAGACCTTCAGTTCTATTAACACTAAAGTGCAGACTTCACAGATCAAGCCTTTTTATTTGGGCTCATTCCAAGGAAATCCTGAACTGAGTATCTGTGTTCACCTAGAATGATTTTAGACAATGCCCTTGAAAAACAGAGAGTCCAGGCCCCAAAGCCACCACACAAAAGAATACCCAAAATTCACACAAATTATACAGCTTACAAAGTCGGGTCATGTTAGAATCTTACTGGTCAGCAGGCTGCCGATAAAATTCCCCCAAGATTTGCACAAGAACCTCTGACTGGACATAGAGAAAGGGAACCCCAAAAGCCATCAGCTGACACATGAAAAACGAGTCCAAAGGATTTTGGGCTACCTGGCGCCCGACCGAAGAAACTGTGCTTTGCAGGCGCTGGCTTGCCACCCTAACTTTGTCAAAGAGGCTGAGAGAGTACTTCACCACCCTGCCAAAGAATGAAGCGGAGCTACCTGGAGTCCTCTCTGCCGAAATGGCTATGGAATTTGCCCGTCCACTTGCTTCAGCTGCCATGGCTTCCTGCAGGGATCCTTTGTTGTCCTGTGAAATGAGGGAAAGAAAAAAAACAAAAAACAATCAAAGAAGAAATTGGAAACCCTTTGGAAACATTTACTTTTAATTTGGAGCAGTGTGTTTTTTAACACTGAACATGCCCAACCACCTCTTGAACAGCAGCATTTGATTATTTATGGGTTAGGCAGCGTCTGGACATGACACTCAGGAGTCGGGCCCAACTAGTGCATCGTCATCTGATTATTTATGATCTGAAGATCAGTTTATGCATCTAAGAAAGCCAAAGAGGTGACATTTCTACACCTTGCTCACAGGAGTTACGACGACCCATTTTTGCCCTTCAACTTCAGAAGGAAGCAGGGCAGCAATGGGCCTCTATCCTTCCCCTGCACAGGGCGAAGGAAGCACAGCATTAACTTGCTATGGTAAAGGTAGGGCACAGGGGGAAGGGAGATAACACTTACTACAGAAAACAAAAGCTCCACATATAAGAGGGTCCAGCTTTGAGCAGGTAGCAGAGAGCTGAAAGCAAACTTTATAGGATTTGAGAAGGTAACACTGCTCAGGATTATAATGTAATTTCCCAAAGAGAGTGTAGGAAGAGAGACTCAAAGTGAAACAGGGACAGAAAATAAGCCCAACTGATGCTTTATGGGGTGCAGGGAGTAAAGGAGGAAGCCCTTTCTGAACTACACAGTACGACCTGCCCCTCTTTTCCAAGCATGATTCTACCTGTTAGTATTAAGTGAGGTAAAACGGTTCCTTTCTAGCAATAGGTTCCTATTAATGCAAGACAAATCTTCCTAAGAAAGAGCTCAATTTTGGCCTATGCGAGTGGATTTGGCTCAGAACCCAAATCCTAGCCACAGAGATGGGACTGCATTTCCTGAAGAGAAATGAAAATCATTGACAGAAAGGCTGTCAACTTTGTCATTCTAGTTCTTGTGGTGTTTGCAGGCTTCAGTAATTATTTTAGTTCAAAAAGAAACTACCATCAAACCCTAGACTGTGTGGGGTGGTGTTTTCTTTCTTAATGAGACCCACAAAAACATAAGAGATTGATAATTACAACACAGATTGCTCTTGAATTTACCACTTTACAAAGAGGCAAGACTTCATGACATTTAAACATAATGTGATTCATTACGATTCTTCTACCCTCTGCAAAAACACATTTTTCCAATAGCAGGGATCAAAACCCATTACATCCAACATGTCAGATTAGAATAAAAAGTTACCTTTCCTGACAGAGGACCCACTGCTGGTCTCTTCCTTTGAGCATAACCAGAGAGTCGGTAACAGTAGTGAGGTTTACAGTAGAATTTACCTGCAGTCAGAACAAAAGGGGGAGAGAGGAGTAACAGTGAGAACACAGCAGCTAAATCTACACAATATAACACTCTACCTCAGTGAGATTTACTTTGCTATCTCTCCACTTCCTGTGCCCGGCCCTGCCCCCTCACTATGCTTGGAGACAAACACTCTGAAGTTTTAACTCAAGTCCTCCTCTCCCCCTCCCTAAACAGTGCCTATTCCATTGGATGCCTGACAACCATTTAACCGAGATCCAATCAGCCACCAAAGCAGAGCTGAGGCCTCCGTGGTATCACACACTAACAATGCGGCAGTGTGTGAAGAACAAAGACATCATCACATGAAAAGCTGGCAGCCGCACTTTTGGGAAAATCAAGAATGAATACAACTATCAGAGGAATGAGGGAGGAAACGGGTGTTAACTCTGAAGGGACTATGTATGATAATATACCGAGACGTCTTCCAAAAAAAAGATATTCTACTTAAATCTCATTTCCCCAATCAACAGGCTTCATAGGACCCAGTCAAGTGCCACAACTAGAAGCCCAGCTGAGTACAGACCTAGTTACCTTTTACTCTTATTGGGACAGTGCTGGGAAATGGTACCCTGGCCTTGAGGTGCTACTCCAATACAAACACTAGTATCAGGTCAGAGTGGTGGTGCTGCGTGAGCTTTCCATGCAGCTCTGTCACTGCACAGCTGCCCTGAAATGCACTGTAGATTCCTCTGCTATTCCAACACAACTGCTAATGGACCTCAACCCTGCAATGTGACTTCAACTGTTTTACTAGTTCGGCTCCTCCTCAGTAAGAGCACCTCAATCCAAACGTGCAGCCCCCGCTACTAACCCATTCCTGCCCTCTCCACTGTCAAGTTTTCTCTGCTTGAGTTCTGGCCAGGTTGCTCTCTGGGATTCAGGAGGTGCTTGGAGGACTTCCGGCTGCAACCTACAATCTGGACTCATGGTCTTCTTGGCTGGTAAAATCTACCAGGAGGACACTGGACCCATTATTTGAGAACACTGTCTCCTTTTGGGAAGACAAAAAGTGACTACATCTCACATTTCAGAGGTCCCTGCTCAAGAAACCAGCTCTTTATGCTGCTAATCTCTCCAACTATTGCCCTATGTCTAGCTGTCCCTTTCTGGGAACATTTCTGAGAAGGGTATGGGGAAGGCATCACTGACAATATTGTGAGTCCATAGACTTTCTTAACTCCTTGTAATCTGGTTTTAGGCCTGAGTACTATACCTAGACTACAATATTCTTATGGGTCTCCTTTTGACAACATATTCAGATGATGTGGTATATAGGGATTCTTTTAGATCTCATAGCTGCCTTTAATACTGCTGACTACAGAACGTGGATTCATTTGTTAACCCAGATAGATGAATAATATTAAGACATGAATGGCTCTAGTCTTCTCTCAGAAAAAATCCAGAGTGAAATATTGGATAATTTCTCATCTGCCCAGGGACTCTTTTACAGTGTGATGCTATTGGGAAAAAGGCTAATATCATTCTGGGATGTACTGACAGGAGTGTCATATGAAAGACACGAGCGGTAACTATTCTGCTCTACTTGGCACTGATGAGGCTTCAGCTGGGATATTGTGTAAAGTTTTGGGCACCACACTTTAGGAAAGATGTAGACAAGTTGGAGAGAGTCCAGATGACAGCAACAAAAATGGTAAGAGGTTTGGAAAGCCTGAAATGCACTGAAGAATCCTCTGCTATTCCAACACAACTCTGCTAATGGACCTCAACCCTGCAGTGTGATTTTGGCTGTTTTACTAGTTCGGCTCCTCCTTGGTAAGAGCACCTCAATCCAAACATGCAGCCCCCACTACTAACCCAGTCCTGCCCTCTCCACTGTAAAGTCTTCTCTGCTTGAGTGATGGCCAGGTTGCTCTCTGGGATTCAGAAAGGAAAGGTTGGATGAACTGGGCATGTCTAGTCTAGACAAGAGAAGGCTGGGAGATGGGAAGGGAGGGAACCTGATAACAGTCTTCAGATGTGTCAAGGGCTTTTATACAGAGGACAGTGGTCAATAGCTCTAATTGTGCACCAAGGGTAGGACAAGACAGATCAGCTTAGTTTGCAGCAAGGAAGATTTAGGTTAGATATTAGGAAAAACTTTCTAACTATTAGGCTAGTTAAGTACTGGAACAGGTTACCTAGGGAAGTTACGGAACCCTATCGTTGGAGGTTTTCAAGAAGAGGGTAGACAAACACCTGACCAGGATGGTCTAGGTATACTTAATCTTGCCTCAATGCTGGGGCAGAGTGTGGACTAGATAATCTTTTGAGCTCCCCTCCTGCCCTACATTTTTAAGATTCTGTGGAGTACCATAGAGTTCTATTTGGACACTACTGCTCAATATACATGAAAAGCTGTTAGGGAAGCAATGTAGTTTGGGTTTCAGTGCTATCAGTATGGTAAAGCCTCAGCCATCAGACCAGGATGAAGTGATCATTTGGCACAGACTGGTACTTGGATGATTGCTGGCAGAAGACGGAGTAAATGCTTGCTGGCAGGGGGAACAACTAGAGCAGATGGTAGAAACTATTTCTGCCCTTGCAACTGAGGAAGGATCCTAGTTTATTGGTACTCAGACTTACAAGCAGAGGATTCTATTGGATAATCAGCTGCTTCTGAATGTCCAGGCTACCAACAGTGTCCAAGAATGGTCCTCCCCCAGCCCCCAATCTTTGAGTACTAAGAAGGCTGCTGCTATTTCCTGTATATGTGGCCTTCAAAGCTACCACTGGTCCCTTGGGTCTGACAGCCCAAGTTTGTTGTCCTTGAGGACACATTGTAAAGGCCCATCTATGTCTTACTGGGAGGCTGGTTTGGTGATGGTTCTGAGATTTCCCCTTTCCCTTCACACCCTAGTGATTGAGAGACTTTGTTATTGTTGGTAGCTATAGGATCTATCAACAACATATATGTGATTTCAATTATATATTGCCTGTGAAACTTGAGTTTGATACCCTTGTGGTGTTTATCCTAGCCAGTGAATTTATGGATACTATTCTCGGTCATCCACATTGTGTGTCTAATCAGTTTCTGAAATTTGCTAAGATATTTATCTCCTGACATGCTGCAGCAGTGTATTCCACAGCTTCATTATATGTTGTCTCAGTTTACCATTTTTGTTTTGCTCTTGTATGAAAGGGACTGACTGACTGCCTGACTGGTCTTCTATAAGCCATTCACTGCTGTTATTTTGTCTTCTTAAATAAGCCTAATATGCCATCACCCTTTGCATAGAATCCTATACTGCACCCACCTCTAAGTTTTTTTATGCCTTTTCCCCCCTTCTGGAGCTCCTCATAATCCACACTACTCTGACTCACCTAAACTAACTCATCAGTAAGTTTTGCCACCTCGCTTACAGGTCCATCACATACAGAACATCAGACCCAGTACTGTTCCCTCGGTCACCACTTTTAACAAATCTCGCTCTAGACAGCTAATTGGTCATTTATTCCAACTCTGTTTCCCCATTCAGCTGTTTCATCTATAAATAGGACATCCTCAGCCAGTCTATGAAAAGCTAATATTATATCCATTGGTTATAAATCTCCTATTTTATTAACTTTGGAAGAATTTTTACTAGTTGAGTTCTGATTCCCCTGGCAGAAAGCGATTTGCATTTGTCCTTATCATGTTTTACTCGCCTAAGTGTTTTAAAGCTCTGGCTTAAGAAGACTCCTACTTTCCCGGAACTGAAGAAAGGCTCAAGGATCTATACTATTCAGGATCATCCTTACACACCTTTTTAAAGGGAAAATGCATCACTCAGGCCCCTCTCCATTTCAGGAGCTATTTTTTAAATGATAAATTACATATTTTGCTAATAGTTCAGCTCTTTTGTTGTTTTCAAGAGCTGGCCATAAGGATACAGTCCCATATAGTCTTACCAGTTTAAATGAGAGGTGGTATTTGGGGAAGATATACTATTACTGCTCCTCACCCACCAATATTTGTAAAGTGAAGCCAGGGCTGAGATCTTGAGGCAATGCCCCAGGTACAGTGAGAGAGTGTTTTGGGTGTATGAGGAAGACGACAGGTAATTTCTCTTACCATCTTCAATGTCATAGGCGTAACATGATAAGCGCAGGGTGGTGGCGCAGTATTCGCACTTGAAGCAGCTGCGGTGGAAGAACTTGCCTTCAGCACTCAGCCTTTCCATCACGTAGACCCGCTTGCGGCAGAAGTAACAGACATCACTGCCTCCCAAATTCTGGGGGAACTCCTTCTTGAGTGAGCCCTGGGCAGAAATAAGGCAGGACCAGTGTTATCTGTGTGCAATCTCACCTCCCTAGCCAGGTCACCTTTTCTATCTGTGGATACTGAGCATCTGGAAGGGACCATTCTGTGACTCCGCTCAGCCCTACCCAGGGCACCAAGCAGACAACTGCCACCTAGAGACAATAACTAACCTTCAAGTTCAGGGAGAAAGACCTGGGTTTCAGTCCCTACATCTATATAAATCAGGAGTAAATTACAGCTTCCAGCTCCTTGGATAGGAGAGCTAACTGTCTCACGAGGGGTATTAATGCTGCCCTAGAGACAGTTGACTGAAGGAGGCGTAAGATGGACATCCTCCCTAAGTCAGCTGGGAGGGTTACTTCTGGAATGCTCCTAACCCTGCCTTTATTCACTTGCAAGAGACAGAGGCTAGTCTTGAAACCAAGATTTTCAAACTGCAGCTCAACACACCAACTGCCAGAAACATCAGTAATCCCTCGAGCAACCTCTTAGCCCTACATTTCAGTCTCCCTGAGACTTGTGAAGAAAGAAGTTTTCTCCAGGGACACCGCAATCCAGAAGTAGCCTGATTGGATCAAACACAGCTCTATGCATTTGAGAGTCAGGACTTCTCAGTCTCTGAACTTAGTATCCCCAGTCCAAGGATGTTGGCAGTAGATTAAGACAGACTTTGCAAGGAAAACAGAGTGAGGGCTGGGGAAGAAAATGAAGTCCAACTATAAAGTTATTACAAAGTATTACCAGCTTCTTTCAAGACAACTGAAGATTCAAATCACTACAGATCTACAGAACTTCTAATCACAAACACGTATCATCTGCTGTACATCATTCTCTTACCAGTTCCTTCTTGTCTAGAAGGGTTTTAGGCTGTTCTTTCCTTTGAAGCTGATTGGCTATCTGCTCAGCCAATGAGCTCACTCCGCCTGTGTACATCTTTATATACTTCTACCAGATGGGGGGGCCAAAACAGCAGGGAAGCGAGGAAAGAAAAAATCAAATTAAAAAGATGACAAAAAATGATAAAAGAGTAAGTGATGAAAAGGTGCAGAGCGGTCAAACCATGCCAAGACAGTGGAGAACACAGAGTGATTGTGTAGTAACAGCAGAATCAGTATCATCAGTGATCACCAGCACAGCCCGGCACTAACTGTAATAGTAACTAAAAAAAGAGGGAAGTTTGAAATTGGTAACGCTACGAGATTAGAAGTATGTTCTTTCTTCTTTGCTCTGAGGATATTTTGCATATGAAGGACCTGAACATTTGTTTTCCTCTGAGAGGAAACAAAACTAGGACAAGTTTTAGCTTCCAGGTAAGAGGGACAATGGGAAAAGGGTAGAGAAAAAGCATTTCACAAAGTTTAAATTCAAAGAACTGTTCACAAAAGTGCTTAGCAAAAGGGAGCAAGTTGTTTCCAGGGAGAAGAAACCCTCAAGCTCAAACTGAGTCATAGCGATTCCTAAAAATCTGTAATTCCTCCACTGCTGTCAGAGTGCCTGTTCACAGTACACAAAGGGGTTCTGGAGTTTATCTAGAAGGTGTGAGGGGGACTCTGATCCAACACATTAGATTTGTATCTGTGTATACCTGGCACCAAATGTGCTCAGCTGTGCACACCAGCTTTGCCCCTAGGCTGTTCTGTCAAGGGTATTTTGCCTGGCTCTGTAACTCTGAGCATCTGGATCAAACTAAATTGCAACAAACCTTTTAATTTGGGTACTTAGGAATCCAGGCAGTTTGGTTCTTGACTCAGGGAGTGAGGCCCAAGAGGAGAGTTTTACAGTTTGTTTTCTAACTGAGCTTGAACAGTACAGGGAGGCCAGTAGAGTTATACACGAAACATCCAGGACATTTGGCAGTAATTAAGTGGTTAAAGAAATAAAAACTTTTATGGAAAGGCAATCCTATCACATGTGTCTCAATTCAGCAGCAGGCCAGGCAGTGTCACTTATTCAGATCATTGTTTTTTAATGTTTCTCTGACTTACAAACAGAGGGCATTGCTGGAGTCTCATTAGTAAATGTAGAACTGATTCAGCCTTCCATATTCAGCCCTCTGGCTTCTTACAAGTGCAACATTCCTGGGATACACTACTCTGAAGCAATTAACTTTTTACAACCCAGAAATTCCTTTACTTATTCTGCAGGGTTTCTATACTACATGCTCAGAAGTATCCCTGTGTAAAAACATGCCTAAAAAATTCACAGCACAAGAGGATTCTGGTTGTCCCCATGGAACGCAGATCTTTATGACCCCCATCTCTTGTCATGGAAACCAAGTGATTCCCTTCCCTTCTACATTTTTGTGCAAATTTTAGTGCTCACAAAATTAGAGAAGAGAGAGATTTTACAGAATCATGACACAGATTATTTCTATGATCTGTAAAATAGTAATATTTTACAAAAAATTATGAACTCTCACAGTCTGTTCTTGATTTCATGGCTGTGATTATCAGCCATTTACTGTTGTTTGTATCTTCACATGTTTGTGAGCATGGTAGCATCAGGAAACACTAAAGAGTTTGAAACCCAACATTTTAGGAGGGTTTCCTAAAGAATGAGCCTGGAAAAGCCAGGGCCAGGATCAGACAATTTATCATTTATATCTATTAGATAAGTAAGTAATAACTCCATAATCTATAGGTCACTGCAGTGTACGAGTGTTCATTACTATAAGAAAGTAAAAGACGGTTACTTACCTTCTGTAACTGTTGTTCTTCGAGATGTGTTGTTCACGTCCATTCCACATTAGGTGTGCGCGCGCCGCGTGCACGAATCGTCGGAAACTTTTTCCCTCAGCGGCTCCCGTCGGGCCCACAGGGTCCCCCTTCCCGCCAGAGCGGCGCCCCGCCCTCGCGTATATATATCCCTGCCGGCCCGACCCTCCCTCAGTTCCTTCTTGCCGGTGACTCCGACAGAGGGGAAGGAGGGTGGGAAGTGGAATGGACGTGAACAACACATCTCGAAGAACAACAGTTACAGAAGGTAAGTAACCGTCTTTTCTTCTTCGAGTGCTTGTTCACGTCCATTCCACATTAGGTGACTCGCAAGCTTACCGTTGGAGGAGGGTAGGAGTCAAGGAATAATTGATTGCAGCACCGCCTTGCCGACCACTGCATCATCTCTAGTCTGATGGTGGATCGCGTAGTGGGCTGTGAAGGTATGCACCGACGACCAGGTGGCTGCCTTACAGATCTCCTGGAGCGGGACCTGTACCAAGAAGGCCGTCGAGGACGCCTGGGCTCTAGTGGAGTGAGCCCTGATCTGAGGAGCAGGCGTGTTGGCGAGCTCGTAGCACGTACGTATGCAGTGCACTATCCACGCCGACAGGCGTTGCGTCGAAATCGGTTGGCCCTTCATGCGCTCCGCAATGGCCACGAACAGCTGAGACGACTTACGGAAAGGCCGGGTACGGTCCAGATAAAAGGCCAATGCCCGCCGAACATCCAGGGTGTGCAGGCTGCGATGGCTCGGGTCCGTATGGGGCTTAGGGAAGAATACCGGTAAACAAATGTCCTGCCCCATGTGAAAATTCGTAACCACCTTCGGGAGGAATTTAGGGTGAGGCCTAAGCTGCACCTTGTCTTTGTAAAAGATGGTATAAGGGGGCTCCGAGGTGAGGGCCCTCAACTCGGACACCCTCCTAGCCGAGGTAATGGCCACGAGGAACGCGACCTTCCATGAAAGGTGCGTGAGGGAGCAAGAGGCCAGGGGTTCAAAGGGCGGCCCCATAAGTTTAGTGAGGACCAGATTGAGGTTCCACGGGGGTATAGGAGGGCGCGAGTAGGGGAACACCCGCTCCAGACCCTTGAGGAAACGGACCACCGTGGGGTTGGAGAACACGGATCTGCCCGATTCCCCAGGGTGGAACGCCGAAATGGCGGCCAGATGCACCTTAATAGAAGCGGGGGCGAGGCCTTGACGCTTGAGGTGCAGCAAGTAGTCGAGGATCAGAGGTATCGAGGCCTGTAAAGGCTGCGAGTGGTGAGGCGCACACCACAAGGAGAAGCGCTTCCACTTAGCCAGGTAGGCTGCCCTCGTGGAGGGTTTCCTACTACCAAGTAGGATTTGCTGAACCTCGTGTGAACACCTGTGCTCCACCCCACTTAGCCAGAGAGTAGCCATGCCGTGAGATGTAGCGATGACAGGTTCGGGTGGAGTAGGTGACCCCGATCCTGAGTGATGAGGTCGTGATGTAGGGGAAGGGCCATCGGAGAGGTCACGGAGAGTTCCACCAGAGTTGTGAACCAGTGTTGGCGTGGCCACGCCGGGGCGATTAGGATGACTGTCGCCCTGTCCCTGCGGACTTTCAGGAGGACCTTGTGAATGAGTGGGAATGGGGGAAAGGCGTACTTCAGGCTCCCGCCCCATGGGATAGCAAAGGCGTCTGCCACTGAGCCTGGGCTGTGACCCTGAAACGAGCAGAATTGCGGGCACTGACTGTTGTCTTTGCTGGCAAATAAATCTACCTGGGGAAACCCCCACCTCAGGAAAATGGAACGGAGGACGTCCCGTCTCAGCCGCCACTCGTGCCTGAGGTAGGACCTGCTGAGACGGTCCGCCAGCCCGTTCTGGACCCCGGGGAGATACGCCGCCCGAAGTTGTACTGAATGGGCTATGCAGAAGTCCCAGAGGAGGAGAGCCTCGCGGCAGAGGGGAGAGGACCGGGACCCGCCCTGCTTGTTTATGTAAAACATCGCGGTAGTGTTGTCTGTCAGAACTGACACGCTGTGTCCTTTTATGGTGGCGTGAAAGGTCTGGCAGGCGAGGCGAACCGCTCTCAGCTCCTTCAGGTTGATGTGGAGCAGCCGTTCCTCCCTGGACCACAAGCCCTGAGTGCGCTGGTCCCCTAGGTGCGCACCCCAACCCAGATCCGACGCGTCTGTTACTAGCGTCAGAGTCGGTTGTGGGGCGGTGAATGGGACCCCTGTGCAAACCTGCTGCTGGTTGAGCCACCAACTGAGGGCATCCGATACCCGAGCCGGGACCGTGACGACCATGTCCAAGGGGTCTCTGTTGGGGCGATATACCTGAGCCAACCACAGCTGCAGCGGTCGGAGCCGGAGACGGGCGAGCTCGACTACATGCGTGCACGCTGCCATGTGCCCCGAGAGTTGTAGGCAACATCTGGCTGTGGTCGTAGGGAATCGCTGAACGGAGGTTACGGCCTCCTTGATAGCCAGGAATCGGGATACGGGAAGACTTGCCCGTGCCTCTACCGAGTCCAGGACTGCCCCTATGAAGTCCAGTCTCTGCGTGGGGATTAGTGATGACTTGGGCACATTGACCAACAGCCCGAGTTCCCGGAATACTTGCAACGCCAGTGTCACATGGGCGCAGACCTCTGCCTCCGAGCGGCCCGCTAGGAGCCAATCGTCCAGGTACGGGTAGACGCGCATCCGTCTTTTTCGAAGAAAGGCGGCTACCACCGACATGCATTTCGTGAAGACACGTGGGGCTGTTGCAAGGCCGAAGGGCAAGACCGTGAACTGGAAATGGCGCTGTTGGACAGTGAAGCGCAGGAAACGCCGATGAGCTCGGCGAATGGCAATGTGAAAATAGGCGTCTTTCATATCGAGGGCAGCGTACCAATCCCCCGGATCCAGGGAAGGGATGATGGTACCAAGGGAGACCATACGGAACCGTGGCTTCTGCAAGTACTTGTTCAGCTTGCGAAGATCCAGGATAGGACGGAGGCCCCCTTTTGCTTTGGGAATGAGGAAGTATCTGGAATAGAACCCTCTTCCTCTGAAGTCCAGAGGAACCTCCTCCACCGCCCCCGCCTCGAGGAGGGTCTGTACCTCCTGTATGAGGAGTTGCTCGTGAGAGGGGTCCCTGAAGAGGGACGGGGGTGGTGGGTGGGAGGGAGGGGGCGAGGAGAACTGGAGGGCATAACCCGATTCCACCGTGCGCAGGACCCAGCGGTCTGATGTTATATGAGACCAGGCACGGGAAAAATGGGACAGGCGGTCCCTGAAACCCAGGGGTGGATCCGGAGAAGAGATGGGTACGCTGTCCTCGATCGCAGCTTCAAAATCCTTGTTTATTTCCCGGCTGCGTCTTGTTTTGGCCCTGGTTTTGGCCTTGGTTAGGCGTATTGTTGCGCCTACGTCTATTGTCCCTGCCCCGTCTACGGTATGGTTCCCGTCGAGGGCGAGGATGATACTGCCTCTGTGGAGGTTGGGGCTTGAACGGCTTCCTCTGTGTCACAGGGGTGTGCATCCCCAAGGACTTAAGGGTAGCCCGAGAGTCCTTGAGGCTGTGTAGCCTGGCGTCAGTCTGCTCTGAGAATAGACCCGTACCCTCGAACGGCAAGTCTTGGAGGGTATTTTGCACCTCCGGGGGAAGGCCCGAGGATTGCAGCCATGCAGAACGTCTCATCACTACGCCTGACACAATTGTTCTAGCGGCTGCGTCGGCAGAGTCAAGTGAGGTCTGTAACGACGTTTTGGCCACCGCCTTCCCCTCGTCCACTAGCGCCGCGAACTCAGGTTGTGATCCCTGAGGCAAGGCCTCTTTGAACTTGGACACAGAAGCCCATGAGTTAAAGTTATGTCTATTTAGGATCGCTTGCTGATTTGCTATCTGCAATTGGAGGCCCCCGGACGAATAGACCTTCCTGCCAAATAGGTCTAGTCGTTTTGCCTCCTTGGCCTTGGGTGCCGGGGCCTGTTGGCCATGCCTTTCCCGTTCGTTAACCGCCGAGACGACCAGCGAACATGGGGTCGGGTGGGAGAAGAGAAAGTCAAACCCTTTGGACGGGGCAAAGTACTTCCGTTCTACGCCTTTTGCGGTTGGCGCAGAGGAGGCTGGCGTTTGCCATACGGTCTTATAGTTTGCCTGGACCGTTTTTATGAGCGGGAGCGCGATCCTGGAGGGACCCTCTGGGCTCAGAATGTCCACCATCGGATCCTCCTGCTCAACCGTCTCCTCTGCTTGTAGACCCAAATTGAGGGCCACCCGGCGGAGCAAGTCCTGGTGTGCCCGGTGGTCAATAGGGGGAGGGCCGGATACTGTCGTGCCCGCCACGGCCTCGTCCGGCGAGGAGGAGGAGGTCATGGCTTTCTGAGCTTCCTCGTCCTCCTGTAGCTCCTCCTCAGCGGGGCGTCCCTCCGGGGTGCGCCCCCTGTCCCGAGTCAGGGACGGTGCCGAGCTCGGTGCCGAGTCCGCCCTCTCTGCATCCGGTGGTCTGGAGACCGTGGCCTCCGCACGGGAGGTAGGGCGGCACCGTGGGGAGCGGGACCGGTCTCCTGAGGGACCCGACCTCGAAGTCCTAGATGGAGGGCCTTGCTGATGATAGGCCCACGGTGTCCAGAATGGCCACTGCCCAGGATGGTTCCAATGCGGTTGCCAAGAAGCCTCGTGTTCTCTAGCGGCATGCCCTCTGCGGCCATATCTGGAAAGACCCGAGCCCTCTTCCGACGCTAGGGACGGTGACCTAGAGGGCCATGGCGGTGCCGTGGGGCGGTGCCGGTCCGGTGTCGGGGAGCGGTGCCGTCTGGACCGGGACCGTGAGTATCGGCGTGCCGATCTGGACCTGGAACGGTACCGTTGACCGCGGGACCGGGAGCGGCTGCGGGAGGGTGGTCTTGGGAGTCTCGCCATCGAAGCGTCCCGGCGCCTGCTCGAGCCGGGTTGCTGTGGCGGTGCCACGCTCGCATCGGGCCCTGACTGTTTCGCGGCCCGTTGTGCGGCGGGAAGCCGGGAGTCCACCGAGGCGGAGCTCGACCGGGACCGGCGCCGTGAACGGTGCCGAGATGGCGACCGCGACGGGCGCATCATCGCCGGTTTGCCCTTGGATGGCAGCCGCGGCGGAATGTCTGTAGCGCGGAGTGTGCTTTCGGAGGACAATTCGATGAGGTCCTTCGCCGCCTCAAATGTGTCCGGGGTGGAGGGCTGTTCCAACAGTTCCTCCAGCCCAGCCTCCGCACTCGACGCGCTCGTCCCGGGGCTCGACGGGCCCTTCGGCGCCGGAGCCACTGGTGCCGGGACCTGTACCGGGGCCGTCACGGCCTTGGCCGCACTTGCGGGCTTCGCCGGTGCCGCCTTCTTATGAGGGGAGCGCCCCCGGGCCTTAGGCTGGCCCTTTGACTTGGCCGGCGAAGAAGATCGGTGCCGGGCGTGTTCCCGCCTTGGCGGTGCCGTGGGCTTAGTCTGCGCCGCCGGTGTCGGGTCGCGGACCGATGCCGGGGCACTCCGCACCGAAGCGGACGGTGCCGCGGAAGAGGAGGGCTGTAACGCCGCCTCCATGAGGAGCTGTCTAAGGCGAAATTCCCTCTCTTTCTTGGTTCTGGGCTTGAAGGCCTTACAAATTTTACAGCGCTCCTTCTGGTGAGCTTCCCCGAGGCAACGGAGACACGACTCGTGCGGGTCGCTCACTGGCATAGGCCTGCGGCACGCGGCACACGCCTTAAAGCCTTGGGCGTGCGGCATGCCCCGCCGCCCAGGGCCGGTGCCGGGGTTGACCAAACCCCTATCACCAAGAGATTTTGGTCCTTAGAAGAACTAAACAACTACTTAACACTAAAACTCTTAACTGTATTATGAACTGCTAACTACTGCTAATGGCTATGCTAAGGGACACTCTCAGGCGAGAGACAGAGTTGTTCCAACGTCGCCACGGGCGGTAAGAAGGAACTGAGGGAGGGTCGGGCCGGCAGGGATATATATACGCGAGGGCGGGGCGCCGCTCTGGCGGGAAGGGGGACCCTGTGGGCCCGACGGGAGCCGCTGAGGGAAAAAGTTTCCGACGATTCGTGCACGCGGCGCGCGCACACCTAATGTGGAATGGACGTGAACAAGCACTCGAAGAAGAAGAGATGTACTGCCCTGTAGCACTGCTTGCTATTTCACTCTTTCCTTGACTCCACCCAATATACACAGAGCTCAGCTAATTCACATGCCTAAACTGAGTGTGTGATCTGAACATTGTTACTCATGTCCTTCCTCTTCCCTCCCCCTCCTACTGTTTGTTACTCACATGCATCACAGCTTGTCTAATATTAGACTGTCAGTGGAGCTGGCCGGAAGGTGTCCCTCCCCCCAAAAATGGAAATTTGACTTTTTGTCAAAATCCAACAACTGAAAATTGTTGGTAGACAAGTTTCCTTTTCTCTGTCAAAATCCCATCAACATGTTGCAGGTTGAAATTTTTTTTTTTTTTTGACATTTTTTGTGAAAAATTCCATTGAGTTGAAACCCCGATTTTCCATCAAAAAGTTTTAATAGAAAATTTTCAATCAGCCCTAACGGTAAACAATTTGGGAGTGGGGTTTTCTTTCTATTTGTACTGTGAGTTACTTAGCACGCAGTGGGTGCTGTCAACCAACACAGGTACAATGACAATCTTGACCTGCAACACCTATGCTATTTCACTTACCAGCTTCTCTTGGGCAGTGATTTTCAAACCATATGGCATTTTGTGACGTGGACATATATGTCCTCTATACACTAGGAGACCAACCAAATTCCTCTTGCTTGTACTACAAATGCCAGCCATTTTAATTTCCACTAGCTTTTTCAGCAAGCCAGAAGTGATTTTCCTCCATTATTCCTGCTCTCTCCCCGTAAATATATACACACAAAACCATGCTGTAGTTTGGCTCAAGCCCTCAAAGAGAAGCAACAAACATGAAAAAAGCTTTTATGCCCCTGTAGATTATTCCACAGCCAGAAGAATTCAAGTGTTGGAAAAAGCTGATTTGAGGCTACTTAAGACCTCAAATCAGACTCACCAGAAGTTTTTCCATTTAACTTTAAGCATGTTTTGTTCCAAATGGCTGTATGGCTTGGAATAACCAAGATATGCCACAGGCTGCCTCTGGCTTTTCCCACGTGCACGTGTGTATGTGCACTGCATTCAGCCACATCCAGGCAATGAAGCGTCACAAGCCCAGATCTCTCTTGTGGCACATCTGCTGGTGGGAGATGGGTGGGGCAGTGGGTACAGCTGAGTGCAGCTTGCAAGGCCCAGGCCATGCTACCTGTCGAAGGGAGTCAGATGAGGGTGAAGAAGGGCGGTTGGAAGTGCGGAGGCTAAGGGAGCGCTCCCACTGGTCAACAAAGAATCGACGAGACGGTTCAGTCTCTGGCTAAAAAATAAAATACATTGAGAAAAATCAAGAAGGGAGATGGACAAAAAGACAAGACAAAAAGATCACAAAGGAACCTTTAAGTAGAGTCAGGCAGGTGACCGTCTGCCTTACCTCCTCCCTTTCCTCAACTGAAGAGAAGTTGTGCACCAAATGCCCTTCGTTGCCGTTTAAATTCATGTCCTCTCCTCCCTCAGTGTTAATTTGGAAGCAGTTGTCCACCCGCACAGAAGCCCCACATCCTGTGCATTGCTGTCTCCTGCAATGCAGCCAGATAAACCATTCATGCAGATCCCAAGCCCATCTCTGGTGCTCCTCCTACTCTGTCCAGTTGCAATCTGTGTTACAGCCTTAGGCAGGAGTATGAGAGAGACAGCTTTGCAATGTAGTTCATATTTCAGGGGAAGGGGAGACCCCTTCCCAGTTTTTAACTACAAAGGCCAAAGAACCTTGCCTTCTTGGGGGCAGGGAGAGAAGGAAACCACCTCATATCCCCAGCCTTCTGCATCCTCACTGCTACGATGGAAGTGTCTACACTAAAGAATTAGGAGTGAATTTCATCCTATAATCCACTCTAAGCAGGTGCTTTAATTTCAGATCACTTTGCTCATCCTCCATATGCATGTTATATTAAATGGCAACAAATAAGATGATAAATGCTCTGAAACAGAAGGTAATGAGTTGTGACAACATTCTCTGTCCTCCAACCAGGAGACTGGGCATGATGCAGGGCAGAAAACCATGTGTAGTCTTCCCCTAACACATGCACAGTGATCATGCCCCCTTTCCCCCAACATTCTCCCACTCTTCCAAGAGGGGCATCTCTTCACTTCACTTGCTTCTGGCTGAAGCTAACATAATTCCTGTCCTTGAGAGCCAAACATAGCCTAAATGAAAGAACCAGTGTGAAGTATGAGCACTAGTTCCTCTTCTGCCCTTGCTTACCATATGGCCTAGGCAGAATTCCCAGTCTGAGAATCTATATACCTCTGAAACGGCTCCTCCATAGCACATCTCAGCATGCAGCTCTCAACCCACCCAGCCTTCCCTGGTTCATTAGCACCAGCTGCTAAGAAGCACCTCAAGTAAATATGCAGAACACAATAATTAAAAGCACTGAGGTCAAGTAATTTTAGTACAAATTGTGAGCTACTGTATTATCATCATCTGGTGAGAAAATGTTCTGCAAATTCCAAATAGCTGAACATTTTTAAAATAAAATCCACCACTGTGAAGAAGGAAGGGAAAAAAATCATCACAGCAATTTTTATGTGACCCACAAAAACAGCTGTTTTAGACCTTATATGCAGAGTTTGAAAATGTATCTGACACACATTAGCCTAAGGACCAAGCCCATTAGGCCAGGTGAAAAATAGCTGTGCTTCCCCAGCTCCTGCAATGTAAAATGTAAACAGTTGTGTCCTTTTTACTTGGGTACGCTACACTGCATTTAACTTAGCCATCACATTTGTATTTAATACTATTTAAATAGTGTAATTTATTAAATCTCTTGTTTTTGTTAAATCTTCTCTCCCTTCTTCCCTTTTTCTTAATATACTACATCATGGTGCAATGTCTGTTTCCTCTTCTTCTCCTCTCCACCGTACCCCTTATCTCTTTCCCTACATCATGCTCTGCGTTTCTTCCTCCTCCTTTCTTCTACATCCTCACCAAAAAAAAATCACACAGTATTAATAGGAAAGAGAAACATGGGACTAATCCCATTCATCTCTTCTACCTGCCCAGTGAGCTTGAAAACAATAAACCTGATAGCCACAGATCAATACAAAATATACGATAGGTGTACTTTCGCCAACGTGCAATTCAACTTCAGCTGCTGAAATCCAGGTGAGGATGCTGTCCTCGGATCGTGCTTGGCATCTTCCGCTATATCAACCTTCAGCTAGTAGGTGCTAATAAATCTGAATGTGACCTCTCCCCCAGTTTTCCAGGGCAGCCAGAGTTTGAATCTTCCTCCGCAGTGGTTGCCTCTGCTGCTGATTACAGCTTCCCCAAGGAGCAGCAGTCTGAAATTGACCTGATTCTTGCAAATTTCACGCTGAGGCAGCTTGGGAAAGCTGTGACCAGCAGCAGAAACTCTGGAGCTCTTTGTAGGCTTAAGAAGACACCACTGGATCATCTTATACTCAGCTCATGTTTGGGAAGTTAGTTCACATCCACGAGTGCTAGAAAACTGATTAAAAAAGAAAGCCTAGATTCTGCAGAAGTAGATGGTATTTGTCCCCCAAAAGCTTCCTACCTGCCAAAAAATATTGGTGAAGACCTCCCAGGTGTGACTGTGTATGTGCTGTTGTTGGGATGGTGATGTGTATGGGGGGAGGCTGGAGACCAGAGAAGCTACTGTCCAAAGTGGCAGGATCCCACAGGTCAGAGAAGACAGGTGGGTGAGAGGAGAAAAATAACTTTAAAAGTTTGTGGTAGAAGCAGAGAGAAACTGCACACGCTGCCAGCTTTACTGCTGGAAACAGTACTACTGGAAACATGGGCACAAAACTGGCTCCCTTAAGGGCCACAGACTAGTGCCTGAAAAAGGAAATATGAATGTTCCCACCCCGAAAAGCAAGTGGACGGTGCAGCCCAGCAATTCTCTCTGTACTAGCAGAGGGCCATTGCATGACTTGAGCCGAGCTAGTGACCAGCACTGCCCTGAAGCTTGGGCGTAGATCATCCTTGTCAATTGTATTCTACTTTATGAAACTGCACATGCTATGCATCTTCAATAAGTAAGAAAAGAGTTAAGAATCGGCAGGGAAAGAAGTGGAGTAAAAAACTGCTCAAAACAAGAGCTGATTCTGGTGTCTTTAATGTGGTGGTGTAAAGTAATAGTTAGTGCACTCCTCTATCCCGCTGACCCAGCAGCCACCCCTTACCCCATTCTCTTACAAACGGATACAGACTGCCAGAGCGGGCAGTAGTCACCTGATGCCTGATTGTCGGCCTCGGCTCCAGGAGGGCAGCCAGTTGGCATGCCCTCTGCTCAACATTCAGTGCTTGCTCAGGCACTTGGTCACCAAAAAAAACCTGAGGAGATCTCTGTGGGATAAGGAACAGGGGAGGAAATAAACAAAAAGAGGAGAAAAACAACCCCAAAAAGGAATAGAAGCAAAGCTCATGACAAGGCCAATGCCAGACAAACGGCATGAAAGCCCACATGCAGAAGAGAAAAGCAAGAAGGGCTCCCAGATGAAGACTCCTTCCTCTCTTCCAATTGAGACCCAACACGTACTGCAATCTGCACTAGCAAAGCTCTGGGTTCAGCCTCTCTAGGCTAGGGAGGAACAGCTGAATTAGAGAGTCATTCACAACTCACTGTCTGCAGACAAAACCAAGCCAGTGCACAGCTTCTGTCCGGCATTCCCATCCAAGGTAAGTTCACCACTAACCAATAGGCTTGGCTATAGTCCCACAGCAGCTCCGGCATTGGCACTTACCTCACCCCAGTTCTTTTGTTTAAAGTTTTTCTTTACTGATTTTCTTTACTCAGATTTCCAGACCTAGACATGACTGTTTGTACACCTCACACTTTGTGCACAGAAACACTCATTTTGGGGTAGTGCAGTCCAGTTCTGGGAGAGCTAAGCTCCCAGCAATGTCTTCCTAAAGGCGCCTTTAAAATACTGGGATATAGAAACTTAGGTGAATGTAGGGCTTGTGAAAACTAAGGGACTCAGCAGCACTGGCTAGAGTCAGGTATAATGCAAAGCATTATGCAAGCTTCCCACTCTTGCCCCAGCACCTCCACTACACTAACCCCTCCTATTGCACTTCACCCTCCAACACAGCTCTTGCCACAGGCCACAATTCTCACATGCCACCCCCCTTGTGGTGCTTGGCACTGCTTGAACTGATCTTGCTAATCTGTTGTACAGTGAGCTTTTGAGATACTGAAAAATGCCGACTAGAGATGGCCAACACATCCACATGTATGTACTTCTATCTAGGTGGATGGGGCAGTAACCCAGAGTATCATGCAGTTCCCAGTAAGTTACTTTGCTTGGGGGATGAACAGTAAACTGAATGGGAAGTATAAACATCTGTATGCTACCTACAGGAGGCTCAGTCTGTTGAGATAATCCCAAACAGATGACTATGTTGTCTGCCAGATGAAGCGCGTTATGACAACAGGCAGACAAGGTGGATGAGGTAATATCTTTTATTGAACCAACTTCTGCTGGTGAGAGAGACAAGCTTTTGAGACCAATAAAAGACATGACCTCATCCACCTTGTCTCTCTAATATCCTGGGACCCACACAGCTACAACTACACTGCCTACAGCTATGACAACAGAGCACACAACTGTGCTCACAGCCAGTTACCGATTGTGCTCTTTTCCCATTTAAACACATTAACCAATATCACTCTTTTTTCTATTTTAAGCAGCTGTCAGCCCAATTCACTCCCTCTTACTATACCATTTTTACAGAAGTAAAACTAATGCCTGTTACAAAACTGGGGGTTCCTGTGTTGCTGCAGACAAGCTTGTTAAGCTTCTGATGGCAATCCAAAAACATGCCACCCACCTGACAGGTGCATGAGTCTGCTGAAGAGGACGTACTTTGGAAATCATGGCAGTTTGCTGCTGGCTCCCAGTTATTATTTAACTTATCAACTAACCAACTTCGAGAGGCAGCTAATTGGTTAATCTGAACCCAGATCTTTCAACTACCTAGTCCCCCTTCCTCACATACTTTAAACCTCCTTTCACTCTTCCCGTTGACAGCAGAACATTTCATTAGGAAGAAGGCTTCCTATCCTCTGCAGTAAAGCCACCCCCTCCTCCTCCCATATAACCTGGCATTCAGAAGGCAGGTTGGAATGCCAGCTGTTTAATGAATCAGAAAGCAGCCATGGAAACAATGCAACCAGTGCTGGTGAGTGGACCCAAAACGTAACCCTTCCTATTCTGTGACAGCCACAGCACACTGTTAAGGAGAGGTGAGAGAGAGAGAAGAATAGGGGGAGCTAGAGCTGATCTACAGCAAAATAAAAGCGCAAAGCAAACAGTCAGCGTCGGTGAATGCTTGTTAAGCAAGTATTTATGCAAACACCCCACAAAAATAATCATTCCTAACACTTTCAGCAGCTCCAGTGTGTTAATAGCAGTCCAGAGATAACTGTGCTTCCCCCTCCCCACACAACACTGCCCTTGAATATTGCACACACCCCACCGCTGCATGTGTGTCAACACCATCCATGCCATTTGCTCATGCTTTTACCCTTTCCTGTCTGGGACTCTGCTCCCCAGGGGGGTCAGCACCAGGCTCCCTGTTTGTCTGTGGGCAATAAAGGATGAGCTTTAAAACAACCACAATCCAAGTTCTCACTCTGGACATGTTCCATTTGAGTCATCCTACAATGCAGGCAGAAAAGAGACCATCATGCAGGGACACTGTGGTGTTCATTAAGAACTAGAATTTTTAAAACTGTCATCAACCACTTAGATCTTCAGAGGAGAAGGGTGTGTGTGCGGGGGGGTGAATCAGTACACACATCTATATTGGGATATTAGGTCAATTAACAAGTATACATTACTACCCAAAGAACTGGCATTAGCATGGGGAAGGTAATAGGAACACTCAGTACATCTCACACAGTGATATTAGACCAGACGGAAAGTTTAAAAGGAGAGGTGGCAGAATTAATGTGTCAGAGGTGTAGAGAGACAGTTTTCAAAAGGTAGCAGGTTAAGAAGAATGCAGGCTAGAGTGAAACACAGCATCGTTGGGGACAAACAACCTCAGGAGGAGAGGATATTTTGAGTGAAAGCTATTGCCCTCAAAACTGAATCCCCACATTGGGTATTCATATCTGCTTTATTCTATAACAAAGGGGTAAAAAGTCCTCAGACCAAAGGGAGGAAGCAGAGAGAGTTTTCCAATTTTGTTTGAGCAAGGAGATGTATTTAAAAATGGCTCCTAGAGAATGTAAGGGAGAAGGTGGTAAATCCTTAGCTGGTTCCAGCAGTAGCCAGCTGTCAAGGCTTAAATGAGCAAGCCACACAGGAGGGACCAGACATTTGGAGGAGGTGATCAGTAGAGAAGACTTAAGACTGAAAGACTCTGTGTTTTATTCAGAAAGGTATGGACTAAGCATAGCACTGGGAGACAATTTCCCTACTTAGAAAATGACTGTCCGTGGTCTAAGCAAGTCACCACCTCTGTCTCAGTTTCCCCATCTGTAAGATGGAAGTAATACTTGCCTATCTCACAGAGATTATCAGATAATGCCTTTAAAGTGCTCTGAGAATCAGAGTGCTCTGCAAGTGCTACATGTCACTATTATATTAAGGATCTGATTTACAGATCATAGTGGTCATGAAAAGTCACAGGTCAGACTTAAATATCTGCCCTTCACTCATTCTGCTATGTTTAATTGCTGCAGCACACAACACACAATTCTCCTCTCAATTTTCAGGTGTACAAGGGAATTAAGCCGACCCACAGACAAATGTTCAGAATTTAGCTTTACAATTCCCATCAATGTTAGGGAATCACAGAGCTGAATCCATATGCTCCTCACATTAGGAAAGGAAGGAGACTTAAAAAAAAAAAAAAAAAAACTCAAAGAAGTACTATCCATATGTGAGCTGACAAAGGACAAATGTCTCACAGCATTTTTAGATATATTTAACCAGAAGGCCAACAAACCCATGTGTCTGTACTTCAAGGTGCAGCTTTTATAACCTTTACCTAGTGTCAGTGTAACTGCTCTATCTGTACTACAAATCCGTATTCAGACACATTGAACTCAAGCTGCTGGAAGGAGCAGGAGAGGAGTAAGCTGCACAAATGCTTGCCACTTTAACAATCACAAAAGTACCTCATACAAGAGCCCCAGAAAAAGGCTCCCAAGACCCAGGAGGGAAAATGCCCACTCACACCTGTTTAAATGAGGAATGTGGATGGAGACAGAGGACTACTAGAAGGGCAGGAAAGCGGCAGCCTCAAATGAATACCCAACTTCATTCCCCATCCTGCTCCAGCCAGACAAGCCTCTCTTTTGGAGAAACTGCCTAGGAATGGTGAACAACCCAAGGGTAATAATGGGTCAGATTTTTCCCTCAGACATGAACATACATATCTCATGACCGCAATGGGAGTTGTGCATATGCATTTAAAGGCAGAATCTGGCCCTAACATTTTGTATTTCAAAACTCTCCTCTGCAACACAAAATTGGAAATGACTGCTATAGAAAAAACAAGCCTGAACTAAAATGCCCAAAATCTCTACTGTGCCAAAAAAATCAGTATTAGGATAGATTTGTATATGCTATCTTCAGTGTCTAGTTGTGCTACTAACCTAGGAGGTCCAAGGCGGCCCACCCATGTGGGTAAAGAAAATTTAAAATTTATGAACAGAGGAGACATTTAGTCATTGATTTAGCGACCTGTGCAAGCAGGAAGGAAGAGGAGAGAGCATGCAGAGTGAATCACCTGCTGGCTGGGATACCATGGAGAGGAAGGTGGAGAAGAGGAAGGAGAGAGCGTGATCACTTTTTTAGGGCAGGTCCGTGAACGCTCCTTAGTCCTCAGCTTTATTTAAAACAGGGGGGAAAAAAGAAAGAGCAATAATAATAATAAAACTAAAGGGAACATTACAACTGTCTTTGGCAACGCAGGGCGCAGTCTCAGAAGTGCACCAATCCCACCTCTCTCAAATAACCTAGACCAGGGGTGGGCAAACTTTTTGGCCCGAGGGCCACATCTGGGTATAGAAATTATATGGCGGGCCAGGAATGCTCACAAAATTGGGGTTGGGGTGCGGGAGGAGGTGAGGGCTCTGGCTGGGGGTGCAGGCTCTGGGGTGGGGCCAGAAACAAGGAGTTCAGGTTGCGGGAGGGGGCTCCGGGCTGGGGCAGGGGGAGTGGGGTGCGGGCTCTGACTGGGGGTGCGGGCTCTGGAGTGGGGCTGGGGGATGAGAGGTTTGGGGGTAGGAGAGTGCTCCAAGCTGGGACCGAGGGGTTTGGAGGACGGGAGGGTGATCAAACATGGGGGAGGGGGTTGGGGCACAGTGGGATGGTGCAGGCTCCAGGCACCACTTATCTCAAGTGGCTCCCAGAAGCAGTGGCATGTCCCCTCTCCCCCCTGGCTCCTACGCGGAGGAGAGGCCAGACATCTCTGCTGCACGCTGACCCGTCCACAGGCGCCGCCCCTGCAGCTCCCATTGGCCACAGTTCCTGGCCAATGGGAGTTGTGGGGGCGGCACTTGGGGCAGGGGCAGCATGCGGAGCAGAGCCACCTAGCTGCCCCAACGTGTAGTAGCCGGAGGGGGGACATGCTGCTGCTTCCAGGAGCCATGCGGAGTGGCCCTTGACCCCGCTCCTCAGCTGGAGCGCCAGAGCGGGACAAGCCCCAGACCCCGCTCCCCAGCAGGAGCTCAAGGGCCAGATTAAAACAGCTGGCGGGCCAGATCCGGCCTGCGGGCCGTAGTTTGCCCACCCCGACCTAGAGCCACTATTTGTTCTGGAGTAGACAGCTTTAAGCCTTCCACTGAGATTCCAAGACCTGGAGTCAAAGAAGTGTACAACTTTGTGCTCTATAAAGCACAGATCATCTCTTCTCCAGACTGCCATGGAATGCTTAACAATATCCATCCTGTTCACCTAATTACACATGCCCAATGTTCAGCAGCAACACGATTCAAGTCCTATCAGTAACAACATTCTGCTCTCATCTTCAACTTCCCCCGCCCCAACCTCACAAATTAATAAAGCTCTGGGGTGCCTATCAGAAAACAATACAGTCAAGTGCAGGAATTAAGATGTAGAAGTAATTTGGCTAATCTGAACATGACATAAATGCATGTCTCTTTCCTTCATTTCTCTGGTGTGCATCGTTTTATACTAATTATTTTAAATACCGTTTTTCACCTTTGTTTTACATGCCACATTCCTGGTTTATATGTTCTACCTATGTACCACTTTTTAGATCTCCTAGTTTCCCATCTTCCTTGTGGCTACCTTCCCTAATACATCCGAAATAGGGGCCCTGCCCAGAAAAGTATCTGCAACATCTAACTTGTGAATTTTGACGTCTGGAGGGAAAGGTTGTGTATGTGTCCCCTGCTAAGTAGCAAAATATCACACAGTGGCACCAGACAGAATCCATAAAGTGGACACATTCCTGTTCCAGTCCTCCAGCAGGATGCATTTCTGAGTATACAAAGGCAAAGATAGTTTGGAAAGGGAAAAAGAGACAGCCATCAGATTTCAATAGAAATGTAAGTGTTAGATACAATAAATCAAATCATATGGCAACACCATCAGCTCTGCTACTAGTAATTAACGTGTCACTGCAATGCCTCAGGGAGGGGTAAGGAGGAGGGTCCGATCGTGTATGGAGTTCATCCTTTATAACCATCAAGACCCAGTAACAAAGAAAAATTAAATTTGCTTCAGAACAGCCTTGGCCAGGACTCCGCTCTTCCTCAGGGTCCTGTCTTACTACTGTCTAACAAAGAAACTTCATGCACCTCAACCTGCTTGACCCTGCTGGCCAATAAGGCCTGTCAACCACAAGCTGCAGTGTGAGTACTGCTAATGTGGTTCCCCTGACATCAGTAGGTCACAGACCAGGGAAGATGCAGCTTTTCTATCAACGATTCAGACCACCTCCCCTTGCCTGGTTTTCTCTCTTGCATCTACTCCCACTGCTCTTGCAGTAGATTTTCCTCTGCCTTGTAACTTCAGGATGCAGGACCTGACCTGCCAGTCAGTGAGATGGGGATTGGTTCACTATTATAGAAGATTCTCCAGTTTACTCTGCCTATTGGTGAGGGCACTAGATCACCCATTTTCCCTCAGTTATAAGAATCCCACTTTGCCCTCATATTTGTCCCCTCTTCACAGCAAGGCACATCTGCCACCCAGTGTACCTCAGGCAGAGTCAAGCACAAAGAGATGCCATGTGTGAGCTCCTCTGCAACTGTGCCACGCGAAAAAATTCTGCCTCTTCTATATCCATGAGCAGCTCCTTCTAGGAAGCACAGTCTCCTCTTACAAGCCCATCAGCAGAAGCATTATTCTAAATAGCAGCTCTAGCACCAGCTGCTGGCAACTTGGCCCCAACCTCAGTATGGAACCTGTGGCCGAGGAAATAGCACCTCAGCTGGAGTTCCCAGCAATGCCACAGAGCGCAGCTCCAGCACTGGTGTAACCTGCTCTTGCTGTTCCCCTCTACCAGCAGCAGGATCTCTCAGCAGCAAGTCCAAGTGCTGTTTCAGAGACAGCCTCCTACACCAGAAACTCCTGCAAGGTGGCTACTGAACATCATGGAGGGATCCAGCTGGTCTCCTGATGGCCAATGCCTCAGCCACCACAGCAGCTGACTGCAGCGTGCCAACAGTTATTCTTTGATCTCCCAAGTCACCCCAGAGAGAACTCTCCTGCAAAAGCAGTCCAGGGGCTATTGGCACTCAAACAGGCAACTGGGTCACTTTGTGTCCCCAGGCCAGCCATTCCCTCTGTCCCCAACTTCTGTAGTAGACACTGCAGAGATATGCTCTTTGACCCAGCTGTGCCCTGAAGATTTGGCCCCCACGGAGCCAAATTCCTGTTGTCCTTCTCCAACTCAATTACCCAGCATGGAAACACAGCAAAATCAAGCACAAAAGCTGAATCTTCCCACCAGGACACTATGAAGTCTATCCAAGAAAAGGCCAGCAAAAGTTGAGCACCTAATCCAGGAGGGGCCTCAGGAGCAGTGTCTACACTAATTAGTTTTGTAGACCACACTGACTACTACTATGTTAGTTAAATCTATTGAAAAACAGTTTTAACAGTCAACGGCAAAAATAGGTTCAGCCAAAGACTTGCACTACATTACTGCCTACCCTAGGGCTACTATCGGCACCAACACCAGTTCAGCTGCACAAATGGTTTTTTTTGTTTTTTTTTTTTTTTTTTTTAAATATTCCCTCATGCAGACAAAGCCTTAGTGAGAGTGACTCACTTGCCTCACTCAGAATCCCCACTTGTCTGGTAAGGAGAAAATCACTCTCAAACTAGGAAGGCAAAGGCAGTCCGGCCTCCCCTGCTCAGCCACAAAAGAAACAGGGTAAGAATAAGACACTCTCATCTGAATCTCTCAGTGTGACCAGACCTCACTTATCCTTCCCTGTATAAAGGGTAAAATGTAGAGTCTTGGTGGTTAAAATTCAAAAGGCAGGGAAAGTGCCTTAGGGTTGTAGGGACTCAAAATCTCATCCAAGTGCTAAAACACAAATCTTCACCTGCCTCTCGAGAAAGGCAAATGGTGCATTTCGGACTCAGCTTTCTTGGTTGTGTAGCACAACGAAGGCTAATCTAATGGCATGGAGCTGTAGCCAGTTTATGCTCCTCTTCACTTCTTCCTGCGAGACTCTCTCTCCTGTACCAGGTTATGTGAAAGATTCCCAAAGGCTGGAATCCATACTAATGATGATCCTGTCCAGTTACCTCATTGGGTGTCTGAAACTGCTCTTGGTTGATCACAGGACTAGGAAAGCGAGGCCTTCCAAAGGGAGAGCTCTTTTTTCAGTGGAGGTGATCGTGACCTTTTGAGGGAAGGGATAGCAGGAATCATGGAAGCAAGCACAGAGTCAGGACATCTCTACATACCAGCACACTGACCAGGATTACTAACACTGTGAAAGATAGAGGCTCTTAGCAGACCTCCCCATAGCGTAGAATATCCGTTATTTGGTTCTCCTTCTTTGGAGAGAAGGCTGGCGCCGCATGGTTTTGATCATAGTACATGACTCCAAAATGCTGGATTGTTTGAGTTGGGATAAACTTTTATTTTTGTTCTTATTTTTAATAGAGTTCACCATGAATCCACAGACTTAGAGGAAGTGAGCCAAAAACTCTTCTTCCTCCTGTCTCAAAAGTGCGCTTTCATTACATTGTGACTAGAAACAGACAGAGGTAAATCCCTTTCTCAAGCGCTGCCATCAAAACCACACTTTTATGACTACCCTCACAGAGGCAATGAGGCCACTTTTATTGGAAAACAGGGGAACCACAGTCAGTGCAATGAGTAACTCTGCCTGTTGGAAAGTAAGGAATTGTAAAAGCCTATCCTTCGGATTTCACTGCTGTAAGAACCCCCACTACAAGGATAGCGAGCCGGGATACATAAGAGAGGAGGTAGAATTTGATATTTGGTGATTTTTCTTTTCCAAGTATCCAGGCTTCCTGTTCTGACCCACCCTGTGACTGAAAGTCCATAGTTTTTTCAAATTCTCAGTAAGACAGAAGTCCACTATGCTCTGGAGATGGAAGGTAGACCAGGAAAACTGGCTTATTACAGTTTCTATGCATTGTTTGAGAATTTTTAAGACTCTTTTAAGATGTGGATGCAGTATCACTGGGAAGACCAACAAACCCCACCACAGTGACTGAGGTCTCCTGAAACGGCAAAGCAGATAAAATGCACTGTAGGAATAGCGAGCCTGGATACTCAGAAGAGAAATCATCAGGTAGCAAATTTTACTCCCTACTGTTAAGGAAGAACTCCAGTGGTCGCATAGGAAACAATAAGCCACTCCTAGAGAGAGATCTCAACCTCACTCACTATTCTTCAGTATTTTAAAACACAGAACTTTGCACAGTGGTGCCGAAGAAGGGTCAGTAAAGAAAGGAAGCAGTGGGTAGGTGAGATCTTGTGTGGATGTCATGTCACATTCATTTGATTGGTTTACCTGTTTCCACTGAGGCATGGGAGCAAGGCGGCCCTGCTCTCGCTGTCTGCAGGATAGCTGGTTGTGAACACGTTCCTGATAAGGCAGGACAGGCTGTTACATGTAGGTCATAGGGAAAGCAGGATGGGATCCCAGAGGAACACAACAAAATAGCGAAAGGCACTCAAAGAAAGCAACAAAGGAGTGGGAGGACAGACAGACAGACATTTGGAAGAAAAAATGGGGTAGGGAAGAATTAATTATCAAGTAAAATTTAAAGAAAAATCAAGCAAAATAAAAATGGGACATATTAAGATTTTTGTAGCATCTCCCCCCAGGTTTTCAGTGTTTCTCCTGTTCAGTACAGTGACAAAGGAAACATTATCTAACTGGGGAAGAGCAAAGTAAAGGCCACCACTTAAACAGCTCTATCCTATGTCCAAGCAGGAGGCATCACAGGAGCACAGGGAATGAAACAGGAGGTCCGGCTGTAATGGCACCTCCCAGTTGATCAGGTCCGGGTTTTCCCAAGCAAAAAGCACTGGGTGACATGGTTTAAGAGCAATGACCATGGGAAATCTCCATTCTATGGCCTAGCAGGACACATTGCCAGGAACAATCATTACAGAATTCACTGGGGAAAAGCTCACAGCTCCTCTAGTCACATTCTCTTCTAGTTGAAAGCAGCATGGAAAATGGTGTATGGATGGAGATGGGTGTGGTTTTAGAATACAAAGCAGTACTGTCTTTCTGGAATTGGGAATCCAACAAACCAGTCCCTACTGAAAACTCTTCTCAACCTCTGAGACAGAATAACAGCACAACAGGATGTGTTCTCCTTGTTTCAATTCACAAACACTATGGCCCCAATCTGGCCCTCACTTACATGGATGAAGTTAGCATGAAGGCCGGATTTTTGAAGATACTTAGGCATTTACAGACGCAACAGGCACCTACTGTATTTTCAAAAGCAAGTATCTCACATTGAAATCAATGAGAGTTAGGCATTTAGGTGTTTATGAAAATCCCATTAGGTGCCTGTCTGCATCTTGAGATGCCGAAATACCCTCAGAAATCTGGCTCTAAATCTCTTGGAGTCTTCCTCTTCCATCTAGCCTTTACTCTCAATTACAAGAGTGTACTCTGGGTCAAAGTGCAAAACCAGGGTCCAGTCTTAAAGAGTGCATCATTTTCCTGTCCCAACTCCTGTGATATTCTTCATCTTCTTCAAAATAAAAGGGTTCTACTACCCAAATTTGGGTGAGAGCTTGTTGGAGGAGGCCCAAGGATATAAAGGTATAAACCACCTCTTACCTTTCTCCGTAAGCCTGTGGACTGCACTGGTGCATTCTCCTCGAATTTGGCCAGCAGCTGGGTTGCCATGGACTTCACCTTGTTCTGGTTCCCGATGGCAGCATCGATTCTCCTTTCTGTCAGGGCGCTCACAAGTGTGGGCCTCTCCTCCCTATAGCTTCGGGGGGCTTCCTCCTAATAACCAGTATAAACTAAAGATTAAATGGAAACTTTCCAAATGGGTCTTTTCCTTTAAACAAGACTTCTGCAATTCAACAGAGCAGAACCCAACTCCATTAACCCACACTTCCAAGCTCATGTTCTTTCTTCTAGTCAACCCTTCAGCTCATCAAATTCCCCTCCATCTACCTGCACCTCTTGCTTAGTATTACAGGCCTGGTCCACACTAACCCCCCACTTCGAACTAAGATACGCAACTTCAGCTACGTTAATAACGTAGCTGAAGTCGAAGTACCTTAGTCCGAACTTACCGCGGGTCCAGACGCGGCAGGCAGGCTCCCCCGTCGACTCCGCATACTCCTCTCGCGGAGCAGGAGTACCGGCGTCGATGGCGAGCACTTCCGGGATCAATCCCAGAAGATCGATTGCTTACCGCCGGACCCGAAGGTAAGTATAGACGTACCCTTATTGTTACACTGTTCCACTGAAGAGACCCACAATCGAGAAGCTCTCATGGGCCTGTGAACATAAGACAATGAGCTGCTTCGAGCACTCAGTGAGAACCCAAGGTGGCAGCCCTCAGCTCAGCAGTTCCTATCTGGACACACACTCTTAACTGTAGGTGTGCCATGTGTGACATACTGCATGTGCCTTAGACACTGACTCTGCAGCCAGCTTCACACCCATGCAAATCCAGGTGCTACCTTTTACCTGGAGGGAATTGCTGACACCCCCATACCAGCTTAGCATCCGACAATGCTACTCCTCAGCACCCTAACCAAAATCATTAGTGTGTGTTTCAAGAAAGCAGGATGAAAGGGATTTTCTGACAACATTAAGTTTGCAATGTGCTATTTATTTAGTCAGCGTCTGATGTAACTGGCTCAGTACATGACACAAAGTGTAAGCTCTGAGCAGGAATTGATTTCAACCTAAAAAAAAAAAAAATCTCACATAAGGTTCTGTTTGAGTGGAATATCTGGGGAGAAGGGGGAACATCCAGGGGAAAAAGAGCATGAAGAAAGGAACCTCCTAAAATTCCAGGGGTTGGGTGTGGAAATAGGGAATCTATCACACGATCTTTCCCCTAGGCATTTCCCCTACTATAATACTTACGTCCTCTGACTGGCTGGTCTTTCTCCTCTTTCCTGCACCATCCAGTTCCTTCTCCTTTTTATCCTGCAATGGGAGGAAAACTGCTGAAGATAGGGTGGGGTTTTTTTTTTTTTAACTCTCTGGCTCATAATGAATCCCATCAGTGCATTACACAAGTGTTTGAATTATTGCTGGCTGATTCTCTATGCTCATTTCCCATCTGTAGGAAAAGTGGCTCCCTGCAGTCTTTGGTCCTCGTTTAGGGAGCCAAGCCTTCTTATCTGAAAGACAGCTTGTCATTCTTGGAGCTTTTCAATGAGTCAACAGGAGAAACAGCAGGTATTTCACAGTACAAAAAATACTTTGGACCTAAGCCAACAGCACAGAATAACCCTCCTCCTATCACTAGAATAATCATACTTTCTATTTTTCACCCTTCTCCCCAACCCAAACTCCTTGAGTAATACTCTAATGTTAAGAATATAGTGTTTCATTATGTGAAAGCACCCATTCTGACTTTAGTGCTGCAATTAAAGAGCTGACGTATAATGCCAACAAGTCTATAACCACTTTACTATTTAGAGAGTCTCTCTCTCTCACACTCAAATACACACATGCTTCTTAGCACTTATTTGGCTGTCAGCCTGCCAATTTCTAGTGTTCTCAGGGTTAAAGTATACATACTAGGGTATGGCTACCTTTGGAGTTCGTTTCCTTGAGATGCTCTGCCCCAGTTTGCTAAGAAAAGAGATTGGAGACTTGGTACTGGCAATCAGTGCAGCTTTCTCTTCTGCGTTCAGATCCAGAGTCTCTGTGAACGGAAACAGGTGGGACCAGTGAATGCACAGAAACCTCTGTGTGGTTATTAACAATAGCCAAGAAACAATTAAGAAGGGACTCATTCGTTCTTTAGCATGAACTGTTTTGTTTTTTTTACACTCTCCATATAAAATACTCTTAGGAACTTCAAAATCAATATCTTTCTGAATAGTTTTGTCCTTTTCCATTTGGCAAATGCATTTTTTTCCTCCGAGGTTTTCTAAGTACTCAAAATAGTTTTAGAGTTTAAGTAGGTCAAATTCAGACTTAAGCTACATGACTGCATCTTTCCGTTCTAGTTAACAAAAATACAATCTTTCAGGCCTTCATTCCACTAACCTGGAATTATATACAAAATCCAAGCATTGTAACAATAAATATAAAGCTATGTCAGAGCTTCTAAAATTAACTACTAAATGACTGCTGGCTAGGAGCAATGACAGACCAACCCTCAGCAGCAGCAAGAGAGCAAGGAAGTTGTTTAATAATTCTGAGGTGAGTTTAGTAGTAGTGAAAGATGCTGGTCTGATAGTGAGGCTGAAGCCCTGTTCAACCACCCAACAGGCACAACAAAAGCAGCATCCGTGCAAGCTTTTTACACACAAACCTGTTGTCTACCTTTTCATGGGTGAGATGGTAGCTCAGTTTGTGCTCATTAAACCCTTGCACTGGTTCCTAATGCTGCTAGAAGGGTGCCTGTTAGCACCAAGGAAGACAGCAATTTTTATGATATGGTCTCAATAAGAGTATGTCTACACTGCAGCTGGTAGCCCGGGTAGACAGACTCCATTCATGCTAGTGCGCTATAAATAACAGAGCAGAGGTTGTGGTATGGGCGATGGCTCAGGTTAGCCATCTGAGCTTGGAGCCAGGGGATCAGGTGGGCTTCGACTTTGGTGGCTAGCCCGAGCCACCATCTGTGCCACAACATCCGCATTGCTATTTTTAGCATGCTAGCTCAAGTGGCGATAGCATGAGTTTGTCTATCCAGGCTGGGAGGCACACTCCCAGCTGCCGTGTAGACATATCCAGAGTAACTAGCGTGAGTTCTTGTAGGAGGAAAGCAAACCAGGAGAGGTTACTCACTTTGTGCAGTAACTGAGGTTTTTTGAGATGCACATCCCTATGAATGCTCCACTGAAAGTGCGGATGTGCCCCATGCACCTTCAATTGGAGATTTTTGGCAGCAGTGTTTGTTCGGTCCAGGCATGTGCCTTAGCTATCTTCATGCTCCATACCAGGGATATATAGGGCTATGATGGACAAACCACTCTCAGTTCCTTCTCTACCACTCAGTCCCATGAAGACAGGACTCCAAAGCAGAGGGGAAGGAGGACGGATAGTGGAGTACCCACGGGGACATGTCCTAATGAACCTCCTTCTTTGAATAGTGTCTATATGGGTGCTCTGCTTGAGGCAACTACCCTCTGAAGGAGGTGGGATCTTCAGCATCCAGTCTAGAACTGTTTGCAGAACTGCAGAACTTAAGGTAGTGCATGTCTCTGAGCACATGCTAAGGCACAGTGTCTTGAAAAAGTCTGAATTGACGCTCATGTAGCAACTTTGCAGATTTCTGTTACTGGAACCTCTTTCAGTAGGGCAACAGATGTGGAGCGAGAGCTGGTAGAATGAGCTATGACCCTAGGAGGACACAGTACATTACAAACTGCAGAGCAGGAGCGGATGCAATCCAAAACCCACTTAGAAAGTCTTTGGGTGGACAGTAGTTTCCTTTACTCTGTCCACAATAGACACAAATAGCCTCAGAGAAACAAAAAATTTAGTCCTGTCCTAATAATATGCTAGCACTCTCCTAACATCTAGCGGGAGACGGGCAAAATCCTCCCTAGTCTGATGAGATTTAGGGTAGAAAGCCAGCAGAAAAATTGTGCGATTGATATCAAGGTCCAAGATGACTATGGCTAAGAAATGCAGGTGTGGTTAGAAGGATACCTTATCCCTAAAGAAAACAGTTGTGTGTGGAAGAGGGTCAACCTTTAAATCCCCTAATTCACCAACTCTTCTAGAAGAGGTAATTGACACTAAAAAGGTGGTTTTCATGGAAAGGTATAAAAGGGTACAAGTAGGTGGTGGATCAAAGGGAGGTTTCATCAGCGAATAAAGAACTAGATTCAAGTCCCAAGTTGGAGTGGGCTCTCTAAAATTTGGGAAGAGTTTGAATAAACTCACTGATGAATCTGGAAGTTGCAGGGTCAGCAAATACCAAGAAAGCTTCCAGAGGAGAATACAACGCTGTGACGGCTGCCAGGTGAACATTAATGGAGCTCAAAAAAAAGACCTCTTTGCTTCTAGAACCTCTGAAATACGTGAGTCAACAGGAGATAGCAGACAGCAAATACACCAACGGTAATATCTTCTCCATTTCTGAAGGTAAGTGTTCTTGGTGGATTCCTTTCTACTGTTCAACAGGACTTCTTGAACCACTCTGGAACAGGAGAGTTCTAACTCCAAGAGCCATCCAGGAATTTTTCCCTGAGTCATTGAGAATGTTCAAGTTGTGGGGGACAAATGTTCCTCAAATCCTGAGTGAAAAGACAGGGTATGAGCAGCAGATTGATGGCCAGTTGGAAAGAGAGGTAAAGTAGGTAAGGAAACCCCACCTGTCCTGGCCAGATAGGTGTGATCAAGATTACCATGGCTTTGTCCTGTCTGATTTTGTTTAGAAACCTGAGAATTAGCAGCATTGGAATGAAGGTATATAGAAGATTTCTCTGCTGAGAGAGGAGAAAGTTGTCTTCCAGATAATGGCAGGCAAACAAAACCTCCATTAGAGCAGAACCCTGCATGTTTCTGGTTGACAGTGATGGCAAAAAGGTCTATGTTCAGAAATCTCCAGATAAGAGTTATCTACTTGAGTATGGATCTGTTGAGTTCCCACTTGTAATCTCGAGTGAAGTGTCTACTGAGGTAATCAGCGATGGTGTTTTGATGGCCAGGCAAATAAGTTGCTGAGATAAGGATTCGGTGGGCTACATACCAGTTCCATAACATGATTGCCTCTGAGCAGGTGGAAGGGGATCTCCCCCGCCCCCGGTGCATTTATGTAGTACATACTGTCTCGGCCGTCTCATTATATGGATGGATTGACCTTTTATCATGGGGAGGAAGTGGGGGCAAGCGTATCTCACAGCCCTGAGCTCCAGAATGTTGATATGTAGTGTAGACTCCTGGGTGGACCATCTGCCCTGGATAGTGTGGTTCTCTAGATGAGCTTCCCAGCCTAGGAGAGATGTATCTGAAAGTATTGTGACAGTGGAAGGAGGATGGTTGAAAGGAACCTCTGAGCACACTTTGTCTGGATTCTTCCACCAGTTGAGAGAGATTAGTACACGATTGGGAATAGACAGTAATTTGTTCAGACCATCTCTGTTGCAGGTATAAAAACTGTCCTGAGCCAGGCTTAGAAGCAGTGTGGTTGTAAAAGGGGGTGTAAAGTTATAAAGGTACATGGTGCCATGTGCCCAAAGAGCTGCAGGCATGATCTGGTGGTAGCCTGTGGGATCACTTGAAGTTGTGCAATTAAATGCATCAGACTAAGAAATCTGTCCCCTGGCAGGTAGGATCTGGATGCCATGGCATTGAGAGTGGCCTCTATAAACTCTATCTGCTACAGAGGTAGGAGACAGGACTTTGCAGTATTCAGCTAAAGGCTGAGTGTGTGAAAGAGACATAGCCCCCCTTATCACTGTTTGAACTTCCATGTAGAAATGCCCTTTTAAAAGCCAATTGTCCAGGTACAGGAAGACAATTACTCCCCATCAGCAAAGCTGTGCGGCAACTAACTACCAACATAACTTCTGTCAACTCTCTATGGGCAGTGAAGGCCTCTGTACTGACAGTGGTCCTGATGCATGGCAAATCATAGGAATCTCTAGCGAGAGGGACACATTGTGACATGAAGGTATGTATCTTGAAGGTCAAGGTTGCAAAATATTCTCCCAGATCCAGGGATGGAACAATAGCTGCACGTGTTACCATCTTGAATTTCTGTACCTCGACAAAGGTATTCAGCATCCTGAGATCTACAATTGGCCTCCACTCGCCCTTCTTTTTGGGAATGAGGAAGTACTTGGAGTAAAATCTGCTTCCTCTGTACTGAGTGGGAACTGGTTCCATGAGTCCCAAGTGGAGGAGGGAGAGAGCCTTTTGTTTTAAGAGCGGCTTGTGAGATGGGTCCTGAAAAGAGATGGGAAAGGAGGGTGGTAGGGAGATATGGAGTGAAAATGGATCGAGTAGCCAATGTAAACCTCCAAGACCCATCTGTCAAAGGTAATCTGCGCCCATGAGCTGCAGAAATGGAACAGACAATCCCCCAAAATTGGGAGGATGGAGTGGGCAGGGTGGTTCAACATCAGATCCAGATCGTAGGGGCATAGGTGGCTCTTCACCGAGGCATCAAAACAAACACTTTGTAGATGATGTCTGCTGTGTTGAGCCAGGTGCAGTGATGGAGAACTTTCCCCTCTGCATTCTGAGTTTCTTTTTAGGTGGCTTCGATGCTCTATGGTAGGTGGGAACCTGCGCTGGGCAGGATCTCTGAGTTTAAGAGAGACTAAATCTCTGCTTATTTGCAGGAGTACACATGCCCAGCGAACAAAGGATTACCCTGGCGTCCTTCAGCGAATATAAGGAGCCAGCAGTGGATTTGCTGAATAATCCGAGACCGAAGAGTAGGTCCTTTATGTGTTCTGGACTTCATGTGGAAAACCTAAGGACTGTACCCACAGGGCTCAACGCATGACTACAACTGTGGAGACAGACCAGGCTGCTGCGTCAAAAGCATCAGCAGAAGTTTGTCCCTCTGCAATGAGGGCCTGAAATTGTTCCCTCTGCTCTTGTGGGAGGTGTTCAAGAAAGAATTACATTTTGAACAGTTAATATGATTATGTTGCCAGAATCGCCTGGTAATTAGCAATTCTGAATTGCAAGGTGGCAAACAAGTGTCTTTTGATCAAAAAGATCTAAGAGCTTTTGGTCTTTATCAAGTGGTGTAGTCTTGGAATGGTATTGTCTGTTGTGTTCATTTACTGTATCCATAACTAAGGAGTTGGGGCAGGATGGGAAAATAATAATTCTGAACTGTAACGTACTACTTTGTGTCTGCCCTCTTAGCATGGCTGTGGTGGGGATCTGCCAAATGGCCTTGGCAATTTCTAACAAGGTCCTAACTACCTGTGCTGAAGATGTTGTGTGAAGAATGTCCAGCAACTTATGCTGAGTCTCTTGGACTTCTTCCAATGGGATTTGAAGAGTGCCTGCCACCCTCTTCATCAACTCCTGAAATTGTTTGAAGTCATCTACCATAAATGGAGAGGGCAAAACAACTTCATCCAGGGAGGAGGATGAAATATTTGTCTGTGGGGTAGCCTGCTCATTAGCTCTCCTTTCTTGCTCCTCAAACATCTCCTCCTGCGTGGCGATCGCTGTGGAGGAATGGACAGAATCTGACAGCGCTGACCCTGCATTTCCCAGATTATACCAAGGAGGGTGTTGACAGGCCAAGATCATTACAGCCTTGATGTATCCCTTGATGGAGCAGGTTCAGGAGACGATGGTCTAGGCAGGTAATTATAAGAGTCCTGAACAGAAATGTAAGAGCCTGAAGAGCTCTCATCTGCATAATCTAATGGAGGAGTAGATGAAAGAATAGTAATTTGTCTCGCTGTAAGCATGGGCACCAGGGAATCAAGCAGTACCAGTTATAGCAAAGTACCAGAGAAAGCAGAGGTTGTGGTATTTGGGGTCTCACTAAGCTCAGTAAAGGAGACTCCAGTTGATCGGAGACAAACAAATCCCTGGAAAACCTGAACTTCTCTAGTACTGGGTGCAGTTGTGTGGGAACCTGGTGGGCTGCAGACATGGAGGCCTTCAGTACCAAGGAAGATGCACAAGGCACCAACATGCTGGACTGCCAGTTGTGGTATCGAAGATGCAGTCAATGCTGCAGAAGGAAATTAATTCTTTAGTGCAGTGTCCCTGGAATCTCTACCACCTTGGTCATGTTTTGATGGTAACAAAATCTTCGGTACTGATCGGTAGGTACCACGTGATTTAGACAAGCTTGAGGACCGATTTTTAGAGCTCTTGGTACTGAGACTGCTTGAAGCCTCCACAGAAACCTTTGAGGGGTGCAGACTCTTTGATACAGTGGATCTCTTAAAGGTACACTCTTGCTGAGGAGACTTAGGACTCCTCTTGGTGGAAATCTTTTCCGTGCTGCTTGCAAGTCTCCCTGAGGCTGATGGGGCACTATAGCTATTTGAAGGTTGCTGTACGAGGTGGGGGTCTCTGGGCCTGGATCCAAAGCTGGACAAAAGGAGTACTTCATCATAAGAAAACAAAGCTGAATCTCCCTATCTCTCAGAGTGGCCCTTAAAACTCATGCAGATTTTGCACTTTGAGGGCACGCGCCCCGAGGCAGTGGGTACAGCAGGAATGGCTGTCATTAACTGGGAAGGACTCTGGGCAAATGAGGCAACATTTGCAGTCTGGGAACTTAGATATGCCCCCAAAATAAAACAGTCTTCTTCAAATGGAGGGGCGTGGGGGGAGGATTACCCTACACAGAGGGTAGGGTGGAAGTTGGAGGCAAAAGCCTCAGCAAACAGGAAAAAGGAATCCCCAAAAGAAATAAAATACCAAATAAATAAAGAATAAAAAAACATAATTAGAAAAATAAAAGATTAAATAGTCATGAGTAAGGCTACATTTTAGTCACGGGTATTTTTAATAAAAGTCATGGACAGGTCACGGGCAGTAAACAAAAATTCATGGCCCGTGACCTGTCCATGACTTAATATATACCCCTTAACTAAAACTTGTGCGAGGGGCCACAGGTGCTCTGGGGAGGGGGGTGTCCGGGGGCACCGTGGGTGCTGTAGGGGAGGCAGCGGTGTGCGGCTGGAGACCTCCATTGGTGCTGGGGGGGGAGGGTTGGCCACGGCTGGCAGGCTCCCTACCCGGTTCCGCGTGTCCCTGCAGCTCCTAGGCGGCGGAGGGGCCAACGGGCTCCACACACTGCTCCCACCACAAGCGCCAGCTGCGCAGCTCCCATTAGCCGGGAACTGCAGCCAATGGGAGCTGCGGGGGTGGGGCCTGCAGCCAGTGCACAGAGCCCCCTGGTCCCTCCACCTAGGAGGAGCTGCAGGGCCATGCCAGTGGGAGACGGGGAGCCCTCCTCCCCGAGGTAAGTGCCCCCTCACCTCCCCTGCCCCTAGCCCTGAGCCCCCTCCTACACACCCAAACTGCTGCTGCTGGCCCCTGAGCCAGCACTGGCCGCTGCAGAAGTCACGGAATCTGTGACTTCCGTGACAGACTCACAGCCTTAGTCATGAGTGGCAGATAACCATGAGCACTATGAAAACTCCGTCTCTGGTCAAAGTGGTTGAGAAAGAACTGAGAATGTGTTGTCTGTTGCAGCCCTATGCACTCTTGGTGTGAGGCATGAGGATAGCAAGGGTGCACGCCTAGACCAAATGAGCACTGTTGGCAAAAATCCTCAATCAAAGGCACATGCGCACTGGAAGTGGACACCATGGTAGGGGCATGATGCACAGAAGAACATGAATACTGCCACCATCACCAAATCTAACCCACTTGTTCTGAGTCCCTTACCACTGGAAGGGATGGAATCCTTGAACATCTCATAGAACTGTGTGAGGTACATCACCATGGACAACTTGTCTGGCTCCCCAACAGATGCCATTTCCTTTCCAGTCATGATAGGAGAGATTCCAAACTCCTTTTCAGCAATGTCAAATGCCAGCTGGTTATTCTTCTCCACATTGCGTTCATCTAGAGAATCAAAGTCTCTACAAGGGGGAGAAGAAAAAAGCATTGAGGTAAGCAGGGCTAGTCTTCTAAAAATAGTTTCAGAGACAGTCCTCTCCAGCGGCAACTCTGAAACTGCAGAGTGCCCCCCTTCTTTCAATAATTCTGCCATCGTGCTTTTTGTGTTACAGTGATTATGTTACTCTGCCTGTTAATGATGAGCTGTGAAACGGACACATTGTTTTTTCCATTCACTGCCCGGCTTTATCATCATCTCTAGAGACGACCTAAACTTCTCTTCATAGAGGTTTTTTTGCTTTGAACATTACATCTTCACTTCCCTCTTTGCTGGAGTATTTTCTGAAGAGGCAGACTCTCATTCCCATTACTTGGAAGCACATCAAGTTGTCCCTCAGATCACCGATTCTCTTGATTGATCCATATACAGATCTCACATCTTTCCCTCTCCAGTGCGATTTTCCTACACTTTTACAATTGTCATTGCTGTACTTCCACTTCTGCCCAATTTGTATGGCTTTTTAAACACGGTGCCTCAGACTGAGTATAGAGTTCTAACCAGCGACCCACAGAATGGAATATTTACATAGTTACTTTGCTTGCTTTACATGTGATACTTCTTTTAAATACACCTTCAGCATGTTGCATTACAGTATTTATCTTTAATAATGTCCCATTGGAAATCTGAAATCATTTTAGACTTTCATTATAATAATATCACCTACCTTTTATATGGCACTTTTCATGACTAGATCTTCAAGCCCTTTACAAAGGAGGCCCATATCATAATCTCCTATTTACAGATGGGGAAACTGAGGCAGAGCAAGGGGAAGTGACTTGCCCAAAGTCACCCAGCAGTCCAGTAGCAGAGCTGAGAGCAGAACCCAGGTCTCGTGAATCCTAGTCCCGCACTCCATCCACTAGGCCACACAGGGCCAGAGTCTTCACTATGGAACTTCTGCCTTGCCAACATTTTCCCATTCTAGGATTTGTGCACTTTTTTATATTGCTCCCCACATTACTGGCTGGAATGGCTTCTCACACTTATTCACAGAACAAGTTACTGCACAAGTAACAGTAGTGCAAGCTTCCCTACATTGTGTCTATTCAGACCAGGAGACCCCTCCTCTTGGATTGAAAAAGTATTTAAAAGCCATCTGAAGAAGCTACCAACAAGGGGGCTATTTATAAAGGTGATGTAAACATTTGTCTGCTATGAATTAAACTGAAGCCATCAACTATTTCTAACTAATTGCACATAGGCTACTGAATAGCTGTTAGATGGTAATGAGTTTTGGTCACTAACAACTTGGGACGGATAGAAGATAAAATGATGGCACATGTAGCCTGGTACTCACCAAGACATTATAACCCTCTTCCCCACAGGTGAATCGCTCTAGACTTTACTGAATCTAATTTAACGGACTTCAGTCCTTTCCCCCACATATCACAACTGAACTGTATTTTAACACTATTCTCTAAACAATTTGTAAATCCCTCCCCATATATTGGTTGCAAATCTGACTAACATTCTCTCCAGTCACTGTGTTCTAGTCAAGCAATCAATCACTTACATCAAGTCAGGACGGTATCTGTGGATAATAGCACACAAGGCTAGGCCACTCTTCCATGACATTGTGAGATCTGTTACATTCACACCAGCATACCCATCAGTCTGCCTTTGGCACCAACCAAGCAGTTTGCTGGACCGAGCTACAGACTCTGAAATAAACATAACATTTTTAGTAAGCTGTAATTTACCATCTTTCACTCATGAGAATTCCATCTACATCTCAGGAAGTATATATTATAGGGATCACTCACCCATTGAAATGCAGCCACCTCTGGGGTGGAACAGCATGTTTCCTGCATCAGGAACACTATACAACTGTTTTTTGGGGGGGCAGGAAGTGACTAATAATGTGATGTGTAGTTCACACTGAAGGGAGAATTTTAGTTTGCTAAAAAGTAATTACCCAAGCTGTAATTTGAACAGATCACCCTGGCTCTTGTGAACATCCCAGGAAATTTTAAATGAACGAAAGTGGTCAAGATCTTGATTTAGGTCAGATCCAAAAGATGGCATTCCTCCTAGCATGGTGCTCCCTAATCCCCTGCTATATTGTTTCAGATAGAAGTATTATCAACACCTTTCTGCAACAGTTGCATTTACTTTGAAGGTCTTCCATCAAATCACTGACCGTCCTGACCTTGTTTAGCTATGAGATGTGACAAGATTATAGCCCAGGGTGGCATCGTTGCAGGTCAAAGAACAAATTGGAAGACCCTACGCAACTGTACACCAGTGGGAAGGTGGTACAGTAACAAAACAGGCAGACTTGAATAAAACACTATTCCAAGAGACACCAAAACACCACTCAGACATCCAAAGGCATTATATGGCTGGGAAAGGTTCAACAAACCCCTTGGGTTATGGTTTGACCAGACAACTATTCCAGTTCTTAGCGTAAGGCATGTAATTCCTAGAACACATGCCATGCACTGGCTCAGTAATTAGACTCCATAAGGCAGTGATGTCCTTACGACAAGTAGGGCTGCTAAATTATGAGGAAAATGCAAGTAAAGTAATTCTTTTACCCTGTTTCCCCGAAAATAAGACATCCCCCGAAAATAAGACCTACTTCCAGTTTTGCCTCTCGCTGTAATATAAGACATCCCCCGAAAATAAGACCTCCCCGATAATAAGGCCACCCCGGAATATAAGGCCCCGAAGCTCCAGGAAAAATAAGACCTCCCCTGAAAATAAGACCTAGCGCATCTTTGGGAGCAAAAATTAATATAAGACACTGTCTTATTTTCGGGGAAACACGGTAGTTAGTCCAACTAAGAGATAAGATTTCAAAAAGGAGAAAGCTTGAGTGTGGAGGGGAATCTACAAAAAGAATTCTCTTTTTCCCATTCATTTTCTACTTTTCCGTTATTATTTTTATCTGTAATTAGAGTTTTTGGCTTCACTGCCAAATCAAGTAGAGGCTGGTTTTTCACACTTGAAATAAGGACTCCACTACAGGATCCAGAAGGTGACCAAACACCCTTTCGGAAACAAATGTTTAGAAATCTGGAAGTACACTGTAATAAGGGAAATTAAGGTAAAGCTAACACGTTTACATTTTAATTATGCTTGAAAATTTAATTGTGTTTGAAAAGTCAAGCTTCTGAGCCAAGAATTAATGAGACACTTTTCGAAACAGAAGGGGACCTCTCTGTACATCTGATGCACTGACCCAGCTCTGGAAGAGCACAACAAAGTGAAACAATAGGTGGGACTCACCATTCCGCGTCAGCTTTGGTGTCCTGGAGTTCACCAAGTTCTCTATTTCCAGGTGAATGTCTTTCAGGTCTCCTGTATCATACAAGTGGCGCACCTGTAAGAATGCAAAGGGTTAAAAATGGTCAAAAAGACTAGTCTCTCTCATCAAAAGCCAATATGGCAGGAGAAGTCTCCTCAGGCCAGAGCTACTGCCCTTGCACACTAAATTCCCTTTCTAAAAAACAAGCCACACGTACACACAAGGAACATGGCCCCCTTAAGACAAGAAGGGGATGATTATATAAAATGTTATTTTATGACACATTCACACAGTAGACAATTCCCAAAAGTCACAGAACCCCAAGGAACAGCTCTTAGCCTGAATCTCAGTATAGGCACCAACATGCAGCCACTGAATGTATATAGGGTTATTATAAAGGAAATACAAAAAATATATTGTCAGCATGGCTGAAACTGCCAAAATCCAGAGAAGTTCAGAGCTACAACTGACATGATTGTGAACAGAGTTTAGAGACTTCTACAATATCTAGTCACAAGGGAAGTGGGTACCGTACAGTGGTTTAAGCCTGATGGATATTTCTGGTTTTTGCCACTGTCAATTCCCTAAATACTCATATAGGCATGGGGCTCTCAACCTTTTTTGAATCAAATCCCCCCTTAATATTTTTTTAAAACTTGGATTCTTCCCCCCCCGTCCCCTTTAAAATAGAAAGAAGGATTCTGCCACCCTAGCCAGAGAGGTTTGAGAGCGTGCCCACCCTTCACCCGACTTGGACAGCAGTGGCTCTTGTCCCAGGGACTGGGCCTGGGAGTTGAGCGCAAGCCAACCCACCACTCACCTGGAATGCAGGCAGGGACCAGTGCCTGGCACTGGAGAGAAGGGTAGGGTGCCCTGGCACTATGCATGCACACAGCATACAGGACACGAGTGCAGGGCAGGGTGCTGCCTGGCACTACGAGCACAGGAAGCATAGAGGGCACTGAGATGCAAGCAATGGTGGCTCCTGTCCCACAGGGCAGAGCCTGGCTCTATCCTGGCTCAATGTGGAGGGGGGGAGTGGAGGGTGTTGGAGAGCGAGCCCACCCCACACTCACCCTAGACAGTAGCTTCTGTCATACAGGCCTGGGCTCAGCTTCCTGCTCCAGCCTGCTGGCTCTCACTGTTCGGAGGCGCTCGCCACTGCACGTGTGCATCTGTGCACAGGTGGGCCCTCTCCCCACCACACACTACACCCTTCCGGCCATGGCAATGCCACTTGCTCAAGTTTGGCCCAGCTATCCCTCCATTGTGCCAGAGTGGTGGGGGGGCCAAATGTGAGTGAGTGGCATTGCGACCTGGCATTTGTTTATGGCTCACTGTGCTGTCCCCCCACTCCCAGTTGAGAACCTCTGATACAGACCAATGGCTACATGAAGAGGACACAGATCACATGCTGTCGAAGGTATTGCCAGCCCAGTTACCTGGTTTGGCCGCAGGAAGTTGACGTTGATATTGGGATACCGGGTGACAGGATCGATGCTGTATTGGCTGAAGTTTTTACTCACATTCTCAGGGGTGGTCTGAGGCAGCAGCCTGTAAATGCTTTCCCTGAGGGAAAAATACTAACTTCAGATCAGCAAGTAGGAGAAAGAGATACATCACCACCACCACCTTCAAAGTCAAGACCCTCATGAACTCAGAGGGTTAGAAAACTCAAATTCACAAACCTACCCCTTCAGATATGAAACAAACAAAATCCAGTACTTGAGCATCTAAGCTGTTTATATTTCAATTCAGCAGGAATCAGGGAGGTGGGAATAATAGAATGAGACAGATAATACTGAAAATATACTGCCATTATATAAATCAATAGTATGCCCTCGCCTGGAATTCTGTTTTCAGCTCTGGTCACCCGATCTCAAAAAAGACAACAGAAATAAGTAGTCCAGAAACAGACAAAAAAAAGTTAGTAATTGCAAGGAGAGAATTCCACATAAGTGCTGGAAATGATTGGGACGTGATAGATAGAGAGTAGACATGACAAAGGCATACAAAATAATAAATAATATGGACAAGATAAATCATATGCTCCTATTTAATCTCTTGCAAGAAAGAACAAGATGACAAAATCAAATAAAAGCAAGCAAAATTAAAACTGAAAATGAAATACATTTTTCCTCAGTTCATAATTAACCTGTGAAACTCACTGACACAAAGTGGTATTGATGTCAAGAGATTAATTGTAATAAAAAAGTATTAAATATTTAATATGGATCATGAGAGCTTCCACAATTATATGAGACAGGATAAAAATATTAAGAATATAAACCCATGTGAAAGATGGCATAAGCCAACCTCTAACTGGCAGGAGTTAGAAAGAAGCTTGTCAAGTGGATATGATATTCTATAACAAGGGTCGGCAACCTTCGGCACGCAGCCCATCAGGGTAATCCGCTGGTGGGCCGCGAGACATTTTGTTTATGTTGACTATCCTCAGGCATGGCCCCCTGCAGTTCCCAGTGGCCGCAGTTGGCTGTTCTCGGCCAATGGGAGCTGCGGGAAGCGGCGTGGGCCGCCGAGACGTGCTGGCAACCGCTTCCCGCAGCTCCCATTGGCTGGGAACTGGGAGCTGCGAGGGGGCCATGCCTTTGGACAGTCAACGTAAACAAAATGTCTCGCGGTCCGCCAGCGGATTACCCTGATGGGCCGCAACCCATATTCTATAATGATCCAGGATTTCTTGTACTTGGTTCTGGCCAATGTCAGACAACACTAAATTAGAGGGACCCAGAACGGACAAAATTCATGAGTTAATACACATGTTGCTAGTTTGGGAATTTCTTTCCATTTTATAGTCAAATTGTTAAAGTGGACATTTTGCGCCTATTTCTTTAATTAGGAAACTAATTAATTTCCTATTACACCTCTACCCCGATATAACGCGACCCAATATAACACGAATTCAGATATAATGCGGTAAAGCAGTGCTCCGGGGTGGGGTGGGGAGAGCTGTGGTTTCACCTATAACGCGGTAGGATTTTTTTGGCTCCTGAGGACAGCGCTATATCGGGGTAGAGGTGTAATTGATAGTAGAAATTCAGATTTAACAGAGGTTTTTCTACTAAATTTCTTTCTTAAAACACTCATCTATGATGAAGACAAGTTCAGGGCCTCATTAACATTCTTATTGTGAGAACAGCACAAACTCGAGCACAAAATTGATAAGCTATATGCACAATCAACACCGCCTTCTGAAATACCAAACTTCCACAAGTCAAGGAAGCTGAAATGGTTTGACCAAGCTGAACTCTTATATTAGGACCCTAAAGTTATGTCCTGTGTGTATTAAAAAAAGTTCAAAATAATTTTGGATTGAAAATCTAGAGAAGTTTTCATTGTCAAAACCAATTTTTGAAGAAACTTTAATGACACAAAATTTTTTTTATAAAAATACAATTTTGGCCTCTGATACTACAAGGACTTATTCGCATCATTAATTTCAAGAACACGTGCATAAAGTTTTGTACCTCTTTAAGTGATGTACCTCAATATAGCAGTTTTTAAAAAAATTCAAATAAGATACCCAACCAGCAGTGGAATTTTAAAAATGCTATAGTGACATTTAAAACCCCCAGCATTTATAATTTAGTTCATTATAAATTTTAATCTAACCTAGCAATTGCACAAGTTTTCAAATTACTGTTACAATGCCTCTGCTTGATTTAAATCAATGAGTTTTCGAGTTTTGTTAGTTTTTTTTTTGTTTTGTTTTTTTTAAAAGAAAACCCAGTGATTTAAATCATTCCACCCTGGATGGACCTCTGGTTTGATTTGTAAAGGCAATTCCTATGCTGCTATGTCACCTGGAACAAAACACAAACAAACAAACAAAAAAGAGAGAATGCGCAAGCAGTAGATTCAACGTGAAAATAGGATAGTGAATGTAGAGGCCGGAGTATGGAATTAAATATAGACCATTATCTCCAAATTAAAAAAAAAAAAAAAAAACAGAAAAAATATTTACAAGATAATTGGAATTAGCATGTATTTCTGTCTCCCAGCTATTTCAAAGGCATCTATCCCCTTGGCATCTAAGCTTTTCCTCACCTAGACTGTATAGTTAAGGCTCAGAGCATTGATCAGACTCACTTTTTCCACCTAATACAATCCCAACAACCACCAAGAAAACATTCTCCTTTCTCTAATCTGCTTTTAACCAATAGAGAGTAGCAACAACACACTTTGGTCGCTATTCTGTTCCTCTCTGAATAGATTCCACTGGACCTGTGGTGCTCAGAGCAGCAAGTTACAGCCGAGCACCAGTGTGCATGTGTGTGTGATCCCGACCTTCACATGGTGGTGCTTCTGGCCAGTTCCCTCACCTTCTTGGGAAATCTTTCCCTTAATCAAACCACTCCAATGGGCAGCCTCCAGGAACACTAAAGACACAAGGTTTGCTCCCTCCACCCCACTCTGGGTGCACATCTGTAACAGGACAAGGAATTGGAGTGGATGGTCAGAAGAGTGAGCCTTCTGAGCACAATTATTTTTCCACCTACCTCTGCCCCCAAATCATTCTGTATTCAGATCAGAATTCACAACTAGACTCATTTCCCCACAATAACCCTCCATTACCTCTCTGCGAGGACCTCCAAAGGGCTAGTTCCCTGAGACCAGCTTCGTACCATCCAAGCAGAATCCATGGCAGCCAGAAAGCCCCTGGCTATTCCAGTTCCCATCGGCCAGAATGGCTAGATGTAATAGGTCACACACACAAAAAAACAAAAAAACAAAAAAAAAAAAAAAAAGAGGGGGAAGGGGGAAGAAAAGGTCATTTGGGAAAGGAAATTAAAAATGGCACCAAGAACATATTTAGAGGGTAGCCTACTAGGATATTATAACTCAGAGATTAGCTGGAGACACTGGTTCCCTCTGGGCTAGTGGAGGCCAAATGCATGGTGAACTGGCTGTGAGCTAATCCACAGCTAGTGTTTCATTATTCCCTACAATGACGCATAGCCTGGAGCTGCTAAGAGCTTCTCTTAAAAAACAGATAGTTCAAACTAACTACAGTATGCTAATTATTAACTATCCTAGCATAGTGTCCTCAGGGATTCTAGCGGCCACAACAAGGAGCAGGTAGAACAGATGCAATTTCAGCAGGTCTCTGCATAGAAGGTCACTGCTATGCTGAATACTCACTGTTTTCCCACCATTCCTTCCCCCTGCTCCTCCCACCATTCCTTCCCCCTGCTCCTCCCACTACTATATAAAACAGCAGTTGCCTTCCTCATGATAAAACGCTCCTAGCACAAAGGGAAAGTTGAATTCATTTCAATGCCAATAGGAGTGCCATCACTTCCATTCATGGCTCACACAGTGAGTGAGCTGTTTAACACCTACCTCTAACAGACTGTCTCCAACCAGTGCCACGAGCAACTGGTGACCATTCTGCTCTCGCACCATCGCTGCATTCTCTGATGCGTACATACAGGTGAAGTCAAACATGGCCACATCAGGTTGCCCATAGTGATTGATGGCAAAGTCCAGTGATGGCAGCTGCTGATTGGTAGAAAAGTCAGCTGCTTCCCTGGCATAGTTGAGCAAAGCCTCCTGGTCCACATTCTCCCGTGAGAGTAACAGCTCTGTGTCCGCGTAGTCCTACCAAAAGAGAGAAGAGTCAGAGTAGAACAGCCATGTTGGGAGAGGGAATTTTAAGTTTAGTATCTGCAGACAATCTACAACTGTATGTTCTGAGACTCCTCTGAGTCCAACGATTTAGGACCTTTCCCTAAATTATTTCATGATCACTAGTGTCTAGGCCTCTAGGAGAAAACAATGTTTCTATCTCTTCTTCTTGCAAAGAGCCTTGACAACCCTGCTGGCATTTCTGAGCATGCCAACAGGCAATATGGTCACTCCAGAGGTGTGAAAAGTATAAAAGTGGGCAGTGCCAGCAAGTGCAGTGGTTGTGGGGGTGCTTAGCATGCACACTACAAATGGAAAGCATATATGCTAAAGCTGGCAACAGTATCTTGGCCATGAATAATATGTAGGGTCACTTCCAAAAGGATACAGTCAACAACAGACGCTACAGCTTCATAAAGTTGTATAACTCCAGCCTTTTGATGATTGTTTCTGAAGAAGCTTCATGATTACGTCACCTGCTAAATTAATTTTTTTTACTTTGAGTACTTAAATACCTTTTCTATTACATCTTTATAGGGAGTGAACTTCAGAGCTTAGCTATAAAAACCTAAATCACATCAACATAAAAAGCTGAAGTGAAGATTAAGAGCTTGTCTACACAGAGAAGCAATGCAGACTACAGGGGAGTGATTTCTAAAGCACATTGTGTCACGCACTAACTGGTCTGTGTAGATCCAGCTGGTGCACATTAAAAGTTTCCTAATGCACTTCAACATAGCACTGTTTGACACAGTACTATGTTAAAGTGCACTAGGGAACTTTTAGTGCACACCAGCAGGTCTTCGTGGGCCAGTTACTGCATTACATGTTAGTCGCTTTAGAAATCACCCCTGTTCCCAGTCCCCAGCCCGTAGTACGCGTTACCTCACTGGGTAGACATGCCCTCAGTGAAAGCATCCAGCTGAAGTCCTGTGAACTTCACTATAAGGGAAGCATGTCTGGGTTTAGGTCTTGATTAAAACAAGCTTAGTGTGCGCCAGCTTAGGGCATCTGAGCAAAGCAATTAACATACAATATTTTTACATGTTTATTTGGACTAATGTTTGAAATCTGATATCCAGGATTCCCCTAATATATTATTTCAAATCATGTTTCTCCAAGTCAGACTGACATACCCCATGTGAGATATTGCATAACGGTCCCAAACCACTAGCAGGCCAGTTAGTAAAACAACTTATTGGAGAATGTTAAATTCTTGGTGATTAATATGCAGCTGTCTTGCCATAACCATAGGAGGCAGTTCTAAGGTACAGCCTGGCGCTGTATATTGTCAGAACAGACTAAATAGTGCAGTCCAGCTGTTGACAAATCAAGTGTAAATGAAGTGTTAGCCCATTGGTGTATATGGTAGTTAATTTAAACTCCTGCGCACTTCCCTCCATGCTCTGTTTTCAGACAAAAGATGCAAGATCTAGAGTCCTACTTATTTCTTTAGGACCAAAACCAACATTAAACTGATCTCTGTCAATACAAGTAATGGGTAAAGCTCTATCACAAGCAGGACCGGCTCCAGGGTTTTTGGCGGGGGGGGAAAAAAAAAGCCGCGATCCCAATTGCGATCAGCGGCAGCTCCACCGCGCCGCTTTCTTCTTCGGCGGGAATTCGGCGGCAGGTGCTTCCCTCCGAGAGGGACCGGCCGCCAAATTGCTGCCGAACAGCCCAACGTGCCGCCGCTTCCCCTTGGCTGCCCCAAGCACCTGCTTGCTGTGCTGGTGCCTGGAGCCGGCCCTGATCACAAGATCCTTCACACACTCCCAGTTCTTTCACCTCCACCAAACGAGGCAGAGTCACTGAAGGAGTCTATGGGCCTTGCAGGACAATTAAACTTGCTATGTCTAGAAGCCCCAGATCTGAAGGGGGATGTGAATGAGTGCAGAGCAGAGCATGTCATCCTTTTCTAAGGACTCAATCTGCTTCCTCAAACAGGGCACTAGTCACATGCCTGCCTTAAAAATCCTGCTGGCCATGTCCTAAGAGAGTCCTACCTCAAAACATTGAAGAGAAGTCAATATGCCCAGGTATATGTTAAACGCTCATTTATTTAATTCCCTTCAAAAATATACTCCCTTCTCTCAAGGTGCCAAGGCCAGATTGTCTCATACATCCAATATGGAGAGGTTTGGGAGAATGTAATACGCACATGCAGTATCACCCCTTTGTCCAGCAAACTCTGCTTTTTGGCAGTCATGACGAAGTAGTGAGTGTCATCTTTGTAGTAGACAATGTTCTCCAAGTCAATACCTATGACAGAAGAAAGTGTGTTACTACATCCAAGTCGGTTGTACGTTATGTGTAGTACAAGAGCTCACAGCATCGTTTGGAAGAGCTCTGGCTCATGCGAAGGTGAGGCCTGTGCACAGAGAATGTCTGATAGTGCACATGAGACTCACCTACGCCTCTAAATGTAATGGAGGGCCCTGCCAAAATCCCCCAAAGCTTTGGAAAGCTCCAACCTACAAGGAGTATACACCAGACTGAAGTTACATGGGCTGGTAACCCTTACAACAGAGAGAACTATTATATGGCTGCACTGAGCATTTGATTCACATGCTTTCAAGGGGTTTCAAAAATTGAACCTTTAGCTACACAGAGACATCTCTCTCCCTTCCTAGTGGCCCTGACCTTGTTTTGACATTCCAAAGCTTGACTTCAGAGGAGTGGGGGAGACAGGGAAAACATGGCATCCTAGTTTCTCCATGGAATGCTCCGACGGCTTACCACTTGTCCAAAAGTTAAAAAGCACAGCCCTCCAGTTACAAGTTACAATGACAAGCAGCTGAAGAACAAGCTGGAACAAATCAGTTGAGAAAGTGGGAGACAATCAGACAGGAAGGACAGACAATAGTGATGTACTTCTTGGATCAAGGGCCACGAAACTCACTCATTCATTGGTGAAAAAAAGCAGCTTAAGGAGACAAAAACTGGTGTAAAAAACTGGTAATTAGATAAACTCCTTCACCTCTAGATACTTGGTCATTGTTCACAAACCTGTGGCTTCTCGCAGATCCTGGAAGAACTTCTGGTTAAATATGAAGGCCACACCACTGATCTCCTCCACTTTGGCTTCGGCTGTGGTGTTGCGATTGATGAAGTTTGCTGTGATAGCAATTGCCAGTTTACCACGGAACTCCTTCCGACGAAACCCTAGGGACAGGATAGAGCAGAGATCATGAAATACAGCTCAAGTTCAGAGAAGACTCACTCAGCCTGCTACAAAGCGGGCCCCTAAATATATGACGGAAGGGGTCAGATATTACAGACATTCTTCTTTATAGGGGAAGCAACAAAATCCTCTCTTGCAAATTGCTAAACCAGGAAAATAAAACTTGGATCTTTGAAGAAAAAGGAAAATGTCTGACTATATTGAAATGACTCACCTCTTTCCCACACAGTGCAATGGCTCTTACAGCAATGATTTAAAACCACCCCATTGATATGCCTAATAATTCCCCACCTTATCTCAGAAGCAGGAGGCGCTGCAAGTGCAAGATTAGTCCACATAAAAAAAAAAAAATCTAGAATATGTAGAGAATCAGAAAGTAATCAAGCCCAATACACCTGCTGCTTTGCTTGTAGAGGAAGATGAAGAGAATGGAAGAGGAAGTGGTGATACAACTGGCCAACTGGATTCCTGAGGGCTGAAGGGGAGCTTGTGTCTCCTCTGTCACATCTTTACAGACTTTTTAAGTGATGAATATTTGGAAAGAGATTGGAGTGCAGCTCATACAGAAATTTTTTTTTGTTCAGCTCTGCTATGACCATTTAAAATAGAGACAATTCCACTGCTAAGTCTGTGTTGTGGAAAGCTCTCCATTGTGGACGCATCAGGAGCCATTACCTTCTAAAGTGTTCCTCCTGCCATCTCCTCCAATGACCACTTCAAATTCGTACTCTGACACCGGGTGTGTTTTCGGGTGGACCTGTGCACGCCAGCCTATCCCTGTGGATAAACCCTCAGTTAATAATGTATTAGGTGCATCTACATACACAGACATTTAAAAAAAAAAGTGAGATAGGAATCACCTCTCACTTCCTACACAAACCATTTCTCACATCCCTGGCTTGGGAGGCTACACAGTTGATACCCTAACAGGTGGTGGTAGCATCTTTTCAGGACCATTATGGTACCCCGATTGCATCTGGAAAACACTTGCAGTAGTAAGATCTAAGCCTACTGTACACATCGTTTCACTTAAAGGGAACCCAACAGCCACAATCTACCAAAAGCTTTTAGACAAATGGGGTTTAATGGAACTAGGACAAAGCATAACAGTATACTAGAGAGATCATTGTAAGGCTCTCTGTGTTACAAGACTGAAAAAGACTTTGCCCAATAGATTCAAAGTCAACTTCTCATACGTTACTTGATCTGTTTGGCCAGTAACAAGACTGCCAACAACATCCATGGCAAGTGTGCAGGGAAAATGATCTAAATAGCCACAACGCATGCAATTCAAGTGGTTGCTGTTTCAAAAAAGTTCTACAGTACTGTAGGCGCAATGGGCCAAAATTCTGCAGGAACTATTATAAACTGTAGCATTTTGTCCATTTCAGCAGAATACATTAGGTACTTTTAGTTTTGTAAAGTGAAGAAAGGAAGGTTAAGTTACTTATCTTATAGTAACTGGAGTTCTTGAAGTGCTGGCCCATATGGGTATTTGCTGGGAGTTTGCATGCGCTCCCTGCGCTTGGGTCTGGAAATTTTTCAATAGCTGTGTCTGTCAGTCGAGGTCTGTGTCCTTCAGTTCCTCATGCCCTCATCTGGGAGCACAAGGGACAGTGTAGACTGACCGCCTCTCCTGTTCCTACTCTACCGCGAATCCGAAGAGGATCTGAGCAGAGGGGAAGGGGAGCAGGATGCGAATACCCATAAGGACCATACAGCTTGAAGAACTCCAGTGACTATATGGTAAGTAACCGTCTTTTCTTCAAGAGCTGGTTCTTGTGGATATTCACTGTGGGTGACTCCCGAGCAGTGATTATTGAGGAGGTGCTCTGCACCACAGTTCACAAGAACACTGAACCAAAGGAATCATCCACAGCGGAGGTTTGCACAAGGGCACAGTGCCGGGAACCCCAGGTTGTTGCTCTGTAGGTCTCAAAAAGTGAGATTCCGTGCAGGGAAGCCATTAAGGCAGCTTGAGCTCTGGTATAATGAGCCTTGACAGACTAAGGAGGAGGGGTTCTGCCAGCTCATAGCAGAAGAGGATGGAGTTGGAAATCCATTCAGAGTGTCGTTGGGAAAATACTGCCTCTCCTTTCATCCTCTCAGCAAAGGAGACGAATAACCTCAGAGATCTTCTAACGGGCCTTGGCCTGTCCAGGTAGAAGGCCAGATCTCTGTGTACATCTAGGGTCTCCAGTCCTCCTCATTATTGTGAGGTCTCAGATAAAATACAGGAAGGTGAACCTTCTGGTTCAAGTGAAAATCAGGAGGAATCGTGAGGACAAACTTGGGATGCAATCTCAGGGATACTTTGTCTCTGTGAAAGACAGTATAAGGTGGGTCCATCACCAGGGCCCCGAGTTCACCCACTCTCTTGGCCGAGGAGGTAGCTGTTAGGAATGCCACCTCCATCAATAAGTGTAAGAGGAACAGGAAGCCAAAAGATTCAAATGGCAGGTTCATAAGCGCCGATAGTATCTCGTTCACATCCTAAGCAGGCATAAATTTTGAAACTGGTGGCAAGTTTCTGACAATGCCTTTTAACAACTTTACTGTTATGGGGTGGGTGAAAACCAACAGCTCTCTACCAAAGAATGAGAGACACTGATAGCCGCTAAGTGTACCCGTAGTGAACTGATGGATAGGCCCGATGACCTAAAAGGAGAGGAGACAGTCCAAGATAAGAGGAATTCTGGACTTCTTCAAAGGCAAATGATGCTCTGGCATCACAGGGAGAACCGCTTCCATTTGGCAGCATAACACTTTCTTGTTGAGGGTTTCCTGTTATTGAGAAGGATGGATTGGACCTCCTCCAAGCAAGATCTGTGCAAGTCTGCTGTCCATCCAATAACCAGTCTGACAGATGGAGAGGTGTGGTGGTAGGATGGTTGGAGATGCTTCCTGTCTGTAGCAGTAGGCTGGGAGATAGCTGCAGGTGAATGCATGGGCAGGAGGCCATCTGCCCAGCTGTGGTGAACCAAAACTGTCATGGCCACCATGGTACTATTAAAATCACTGTTGCCTTGTTACACTTGATCTTTCTGAGGACGTGAGGTAGGAGGGGAATGTGAGGGAAAGCATACTTCATCAGGTCTGACCATTGCACTGGGAAGGCATCCCCTCTGAAGTGAGGCCCCTGTGAGTCTTGAGAACAATTGGTTGGGCACTTCCTGTTTCCATCAGTTGCAACAAACTCCGATGATGGGAATCCCCACTGGCAAAAAAATCTGCTGGTGCTTCCCCTTGTGAAAATGCCTACGGTGTCTGCTAGGGAGTTCATTACTCCTGGTAAATACATTGCATAGAGGATAATCTGATGCTGTATGCACCAGTTCCAGAGTTTGACTGCTTCCCTGCAGAGCGGGGCAGACCTTGCTCTGCCATTTGTTTGCATAATAAACAGCGGCCATGTTGTCTGATCTGACCTGGACATCTGTGGACCAGATGAAGGGCAGGAACCTCTTACACTCTTTGTGTACTGCCTGAAGCTCAAGAACATTGACGTGGAGTGTGGATTCTTGCAGAGTCTAGGTACCCTGAGCTGCGTGGTTGTCCAGATCCATTCCACAGCCCAGTAGAAAGGAATCCATAACAAGTGTCTTTGTGGGTGGCACAGGAACAAAAGGAACCCTACACAAACATTGCCCCTCTTTTCCCAGTTGGTGAGTGATATCAGGACACTGAGGAAGTGAGACTTTTGTCTAGGGGGTCTCTGCTCAGAGTGTAGACCTTCCTCAGCTAAGCCTGGAGACCGTGAAAGTGGAGCCTCGCAAAGGGGGTCAAAGTAAATGCATGTAGCCTGGTGACCTAGCTAGATTAAGTAGGACTGGACTGATGTCTGAGAAGAAGGTGAATGAGGTCTATCTTTGCAAGGAATCTGTCCTGTGGTAAACAGGTTCTGGCTGCAATAGAGTCTAGATTTGCTCCAGTAAATTCTGTAGTTGTTGTGAGTGTTAAAGTGAACCTTCCTGGATTTACCTGAAGTCCCAAGGAGTGACTCAGGTTGAGTAAGGAGATGAGTACTACCTGTGCCTTGTGATACAATCCTCTTGTGAGCAGCCAATAACATAGGCAGGGAAATATAGAGTTGTGTTGACAGTGCAGGTGTGCTGCCACCACTGCCATGACTTTTGTATAAACCCTTGGGGCTGCTGAAAGGGCAAAGGGGAGCATCATGTACCGGAATGCACTAATCTCACTGTGAAACGCAGCAATCTCCTGTGCGCTGATGGATGTCAAAATATGCAAAACAGGTGTCCTTCAAATCAGGAGCTGCAAATCAGTCACCTTCTTTCAAGGAGGGGATTATAGCAGACAGGGTAGACATTCTGAATCTGGAGTAGCAGATGATGTTCAGTTGCCTGAGTTCCAAGATGGGCCTCCGGCACACTTTCTTTTTGGGGATTAGGCAGTATTTGAAGTAAAGGCCCTTCCCCTTGTGACGACGGGGTACAAGCTCTATAGCCCCTAGCTGGATTAGGGAGTTCAGCTCTTGTCCGAGAATCCTTTCATGACAGGGGTCTCTGAACAGGGGCAGATTTTCAAGGGGGTGGGACAACAGGAATTTGATGGCATACCCAGTTGCAATGATGCCTAAGACCCATTTGTCTAAAGTTATAAGCTGCCCACAAGAAGAAAACAGGTCAGGGGAAAACACTGAAAGGGGGAATGGAGACTGGTTGTGCCTGGACTGGCTGATGGCTTGTGAACATCCCATCAAAATGTCTTGGTAGGTGTTTGAGTCTGGAGAGGGTTTTGGTATGATGTGTCTGTCGTGCTGCACCCTCTGACGTCTTTTCAGGAGTTCATAGGCCCTCTGGTGGTAGAACAGCTGAGGGGTTGGCTGGTATCTTTGTAGTGGCAGCTTAGAAAATTTACCTGTGAAGAGCAGAGGTGTATATTCCCAAAAAGAGTAGAAGGTGGCACAAGAACCCTTAAGGGAAAGAAGCGACTCAGCTTTCTCCCTAAATAGGTTGTTATCCTCAAAACAGAATTTATGAATCTGTGAATCTCTACAGAATGGACCATTGTGACCATCTAGTCTGACGTCCTGTATAACACAGGCCATAGAATTTCCCCAAAACAATTCCTACAGCATATATTTCAGGAAAATATCCAATCTTGATTTAAAAATTTCCAGTGATGGAGAATCCACCACAATCCTTGCTAAGTTATTCCAATGATTAATTACTCTCACTGTTAAAAATTTACACCTTATTTCCCGTCTGAATTTTTCTAGCTTCAACTTTCAGCCATTGAATCATGTTATACTTTTCTCTGCTAGACTGAAGAGTCCATCATCAAATATTTGTTCCCATCGGAGGTACTTACAGACTGATCAAGTCACCTTTTAACCTGCCCTTTCATAAGATAAATAGATTCAGTTCCTTGAGTCTATCACTATCTGGCAAGTTTTCTAATATTTTAATCATTCCCATGGCTCTTCTCTGAACTCTCTCCAATTTATCAAACATCAACCGGATCTCTTTGGGGAACTCCAATGACTGCAGCAAAGATATCTGCCTCATGACCACCAAGGTCACCATGGCACAGGAAGCCAGGTCCGCTGCATCAAGTGGCACCTGAAGGGACAATCTAGCTACCAGCTTCCCTTCATCTAGGGATAGCCTGGAATTGAGGCCTACAGTCCTGCAATAGTTTACTGATGAACTCTGACAGCATATTGTAGTTAATGAAGTCATACTTTGCCATGACTTCCTGTTAGTTCAATGTGGCATAGTAGTCTGGCTGAAGAAAAGTTCTTTCTGATGATGGCATCACTGTCCAAAGGAGTGGACCTGGGTTGGTATAGTCTCTTCCACACTATGACTGCTTGGACAATCAGAGAGTTCAGCTTAGGGTGTGAAAAAAGTACTTCTCCCTCCCCCCACCCCCCCGGGAGGAAACAAAATATTTCTTTTCAGTCCTCTCAGGGGTCAGGGAACAGGTGGCTGGTGTGTACCAAATGCCCTTAGCAGGCTCTAAAATGGGCTTATTAATAGCAAGAGTCACCTTGGAAGGATCTGTGTACTGGAGAATATCCAGGAGTTTGTGTAGGATCCTGAACCTCTTACAGTGGACTGTGGAGGGTTTCACTGATCCTCCTCAGAAGTTCCCGGTACTGCCTGTAGTCCTCTGGAGGGGAGAGAGAGGGTGGTACCATTGCTTCATCTGGAGATGAAGAAGATGCTGTTGGCAGATCTAGCATTACTGACTTGTCCAGTTGTTGTTCCTCCATATTATCCTGGGGAGTTGAGGTTCCTGTCTTGGAGGTAATTTCTGCCAAAAGTGATGCCCCCAGCTCCTCAGTCTGAGGCTTGATAGCATGGATCCCAAGAGCTCCAGTATCGTCAGTGTGTAAGCCCATATATGGTTACAGAAGCAGGTCCCACAGGGGGGTACCATTGGTCCCTAGCTGCATAGTATAGGTCATGGGGATGTAGGGGCCTCTGGAAACCACCTGGACCGATGTCCCGTGTCTGGACCATTGGGGGAACCAGTGGTATCACCTCCTGTTCATCATCTGAATAGCGTAGTGATCTCTCTGACTAGAACTGAGTCCTATGGTTTTGGCAACTCAGGATCTGTGTAAATCGCCAGGTCCTCAAAAAGGCTGTAATGAGGTTTTAGGAAGGAGAACTGGCCAGGTACTTCAGTATAGGTTGGTGTCCTGAGGTGGGGTTGGGCACAGGTCTCGGTGTGGTGCGGTGGGCGAGTTCTCCTTCCTATACTTACACACCTTAGTGCCAGAAGCATCTGGCCCGTGCTCCCTGTGAGCTCTGGGTGAACCCACTCTGAGGCACGGAGTCTCATCTGGTATCAAGGGTGGGGAAAAAGCAGACCTTTTCTTGGTGGTCTTATGCAGTGATTTGTCTCTTTCTATAGCTGTTTCTCCTTTCCTCTTCATATCTCGTTTCATGGAGTCCTTGGGGCTGCTGGAGGATTCTGAGCTGGAAAATGCTGTTGCTATTGAGGCGCTGACCAACAAGAGGGAGAGCAGAAAGGTTCCAGATCTGACAGGGGCCTCACGGAGGGCTCCATTAGATGTCTGCAGAGTCTAAATTCCAGAGACTGCCTAGTGCCAAGGGGAAAGGAGTGGCAGGTCTCACACTCTGATGGAATGTGTGATCCCCCAAGGGAGCTCTCAAGAGGGTCACTCACTTGGAAGTCCTGAAGGCAGGCCAGGTTGGACTTGAAGCTCAGAACCCTGGTCACACTAAATGCCCTGGGAGAACAATGGAGGGCAGGGCAGACCCCCCATCCCCACTAACTAACTACGACTAAACTATTAACTATTGGTCAGGGCTCATTCTACCAGAGCTCAAGCTCAAGGAATCCCCCCCCCCCTTAGATCTACAGAGCAGCAGCCTGGGGCTTCAGTCACATGGTTTCCAAGCACTATGCCCTCATGGCTGTGGTTGCTTCCTTTGGTTCAGCGATCCTGCAGACTGGTGCAGAGCACCTCCTTAGACTTGCCTACTCAATAAATACCGCTCGGGAGTCACCTTCAGTGAATACCCATGGAGACCAGCATTCAAAGAAGAAGGAAGGTTACTTATACCTTATAGTAGCTAGAGTTCTTCAAGCTGCATGGTTCCCCTGTGTATTTGGGTCCCATCCTCCTTCCCCACTGCTCAGATCCTCTTCAGATTTGCAGTAGAGCAGGAATTGGAGAGGTGGCTGGTCCGCACTGCCCCTTATGCCCTCGGTTCGGAGCACATGGAGACAAAAGGTGCAGGTGCAAACCAACAGATGCTGCTATTGAAGAATTTCTGGTCCAGGGCAAAGAGAGCGCATCCAAACCCCCAGTGAATATCCATAGGGGCCACCAAGAACCACCAACTTTAGGTACTAGAAAGTAAAACCTATTGGATTAAACTAGCCTGCTTCTTCAGTCTGAAGAGCAGCATTGTGTACATTTTTACTCCCCTACTTCCCCTCCCATTTCGTTCTACTTACTCTCATTCTCCTGGTCCTCAGGGGGATAGACAAGCCCCTGGAATTCCACGTTGACATGGATCTCTATTCCCAAGATCAAGGCAACCTTCAAGAGGATGAGCTGGAGCTGACGGATACCTGCAGGACAGGAGATAGACTCAGACAATAAGTTAATATTGTATGAAGACAAAAATCTACCTGTATTATATATGTTCATCAGTGCACATCTTATGGAAGCACCAGTTACTACATAAGCCTCTTCAGATCATTTTTATAAATAAAGCATTTTATAAGATGTTTTCAAAGAACACAGAAATCAGTCTCCCAGACCAATGGGGAAGTTTGTCCAACACCTGCCTTCCTATCCCAAGGATTGTGGTTCAGGGTTCATGGCAGGGCATCAAGCTTCACACCTTCTGCTCCTTCAAGAGCTAGCACAGCTTCTTAGAGTGAGGTAGGTAGTTTGTAGGCCTGGAGGAATACTACAGGAGAAAGACACTGCTACTCTGCAGGGAAAACTCTACTGCCTAATTCGGGACTCCACTTAATTGCTGTAATTTGGGGGGACGGGGGGGGGACGGGACAAAAGAGGATGGAATGCTCTGTGTCTCTGTCTGTAAGATCAAAGTTCCAGAAATCTTTCTGTCAGTCCTATCACTTCAAAGCAAGAGCTAGACCTTTTTCCTACACTGGAGGCCAAGTCCTGTTTATCAGCTTTTGCTAGGTAGGATTTGCTTCCCTTTCTTCCAGCTTTTGTTGGCTCACCACTTGGTAGAAAACATCCCCGGGGCTAAAAAGAACTGGCTGGGAACATGCCCAATACATGATCAAAAACAATGGAATGCATTACTCTGCTGACTGTGAAAGCATAGTCATTCAGCTTTAAAAGGGCAGTAGATCCCCCATTTAAAATCAAACCTATCTTATCTTCTCAGTAGCTTGATTCCTAACCCTCTACCCAATCAAATCCTATTCATAGTCTGGCAGCTTTTCTTGTCCTCAGACACTTTCCTAAAAACGTTAAGTAGTGAATCCATCTTCACCACTCCTTTCCACTCTTCCAAATGTACAGATTACAACCTATGTGAAATTGTCTTATATTTGCCTGTACCAGGAGTGTCAGAGCTTTATTTCTACTTTTTGGGGTTTTGCAGGGCCATAGGCAAAGTGTGATGTTCAAGAGTATTAGGCCATTTTCTGCAACTTGCCTAGCATTTGTAGGGAAAGAGATTAGTGTGACAGTTGCAGGGGTAAGACTGAGGCACTTAAAGAGAATTATCAGTTGGAGGGGGGGGTTGGTTCCCCAAGTCTAATTTTCAAAGTAGAAAGGAAGGGTTCATGGCAAGATCATAGGTGTATGCTGGGTTGCAATTACAGGTTCTGCAACAGCCCCACCTTTAGCCCACATCTAGGTCTGGCCCAAACAATGCTATAAAAACATAGGACTGAATTGCATCAAAGTCACATATTGCAGGGACACAGCAGATCAGAGGAGCTACTGCTGAAGATCAAATTTTACTGAGTCACTACATATCTCCCACCTTTTCCCTGAGGAGAAGTGAGATCGGATGTGTGGATAACAGATGCTTTACTTACTGATGTGATCGATGGCTCCTGCGCAGAACTTGCCGTAGAACTTTTTGGCACCAAGGCCCCGCAAGTCGTGTATGGTGAATGGCCACAGGTGCAGCACATTGTTGCGAGAGAAGGCATCCCGCTTTTCTATAACCACCACCTTGGCTCCTAGTAAGGACAGGTCGATGGCTGTACGAAGGCCACAGGGTCCAGCCCCAATTATGAGACACTGCAAAACATTGGCACCAAGCAACATTATAGACCTGAATAAAAAAAAATATTTCTACCACAACTTCAAAGCAGCACAAGGCACTTCACTTAGTCCTATTGTCCTATATCTGCATCACAAGCTGGGATTTCACCGGACACAAACCCTTTTGATGTCACCTGCGTGCTCTGTCACTAATCTGTTAATGCAGTTACTGCGGCCTGAATTAAAGCAAGGATCCTGGCCCAGTTTGTGTTAATTTCTCTCCTTAGAGCAGTAATTTAGCCATTTTCTCTTACTACTTTTACTTCCCAAAGCCTGAATTGGCCATTTAGGAGGCAACTACCAATGGCCTTGCCTACACGAGGCTTTTTCCTTAAAATTTCCCACTGTTGTGGAGCTGCACCAGTGATAGCAATGGTGAGAGTACTAGGGTAGGCAAGACTCAGGAGCTGGGATATTTTAACCAGTAGCTCATCGAGATCCATTCTGAGCAGCACGGGACAACACTGCAGTAAAAATGCACAGATTTGTGGTTACTTTACCATTCCTACCATTGCCACCAGCAAAGCAGCAACAGTGGGAAGTTTTAGGAAACAAAATTTAGCATAGACACAGCTCTTCTCTAACTGAAGAGACAATTTCTAGCAGGACACATTTCCCTTCAAGTCTACTTCTGCTGTGTGTTCTCTCTTCCTCCCACCTCATTCTTCGCTCCACCCACAAGCACTATTAGTACTGAAGGAAAGTAACTAGTAACCTGAACATAATTACAAAGCCAGATATCTTTGATTAGCGAGAGCACCATAATGTCTTAGTAGAATTAAAAAAAAAAACCCAAGATCGCATATTGGCATTACTTACCCAGGGTGCAATCCTACAGCCTAAGAGAAACCCTGCAGACTAGCCCAAATAGCTTACAAGGTGATTTGTAGTAAACAATCCACCTTTATCATATTTTTCTGCCTGAAAACATAGTGTGATACAGCATGGCCAGAGGGCAGCAGGAGAGTGATAGATGGGAGATATGTAAGCCCCAGGATGAGGAGAGCCTTATTCCCTGTAGAGGGAAGAGAGGCTGCTACAGTTTAATTAGAGTACCTGAAGCCAATTAAGCCAATTAGAGCACCTGAAGCCAGTGACCTGATAAAAAGACAGTTGGAGGAGTTGAAGCAGAGTGGTTTGGTGTTGGAGCAGAGAGCAGTTTGAAGGAAGCAGTGGAGAGTTTGGAAAAGTGCTGTGGCGGGCCAGAAGACCAAGACCCTATGTAAAGGGAAATCCGGCTTGTACAGAGCCGAGAGACTCCACAGACACAAAGGGTTGAGAGAAACCTTGCCCAAGCAGAGAGAGGGCAGGAAGCCCCACAAGCTGAAGGGCCGGAGAGGGAAGTAGCCCAGGGGAAGGAATCGCTAGTTCAAGTGGTTTGCCGCTATCCCTAGGGCCCCTGGGCTGGGACCAGGAGTAGAGGGCGGGCCCGGGTCCCTCCCTCTCCACTCCCCTTCTCTGGGATACTAGTGGGACAGTTAATACCCCAAATCAGGGGCGAGAAATGGCGCCCTGAACACCCCCACAAGAGGAGAATGCGCGGGACCCATCATAGCTGGCAATCTGTCACAATAGGAATGGAGTTCTGTTGAGTACAAAAAACACCTGATCGAGTCAGTGATCCTACACACTTTATACCTCAATGAGGTGTGAACACAGCCCAGATTCAGACATACATTTTAGGCTGCTACATAAACATTTTCCTAGGCCTTACTGGGGCCTCTGGGTTGGATATCTCCTATACTCCTTGAGCAGCTTTTAAGCGTGCTAGAGATTGATCAGAGCCCCAACTGCTGATTAAATGGTCTCTCCCAAAACATGAACATCAAGGCCACATTTATATAGACAACTTTTATTTTTCTGATGACACTCCCAATGTGAAGTAGTCATGATGGTCTCTCCCAAAACATGAAGCTGTTTGAGGTTCCACTGGACAATCATTACAATTAATCTTCAGGCAGAGATCTTAGATATAATCTGAAACTATGAAACCAAAAAAAGAAGGGCACCACAACAGGTTCCCAGACCAAAAGACCCATCAAATAAACAATTCAGGCCGCCAGAAAGAAGGCCAGCTGAAACTAAGTGATTTACAATACGATTCCAAAAAAACGTTCCAGATTAAGTCAAACTTTCAACTCACTCCTTGAAAGATTTTCCCCCCCCTCTATTAAGCACTTGCAAAAAGTCCTAGATCAGGAGGATCTGGTGAGTTTTTCCCATTTGTTATTGATTTCTTTGCTGATAATACAATTCTCAAAAACTTTTCTTCCATCTGTCAAGGTTACGAAGAGGATAAGTATTACCTAGTAGCTGAACAGCTGCATCTTTCTACAGTTAATGACCACTCCATTTTTTTTCGCAACCACATCCCCAAAGAGGACTAAATATGATATAAGCGTCAAGGCCACATTTACACAGCCAACTTTTATTTTTCTGATGACACTCCCAATGTGAAGTAGTCATGATAGGATCCAAGAGAGTAATTGAATTATTTTATACTGGACAGCTCATAAATTCAGGTCCACAGAATGTTCCTGTTTATTAATTATCAATGATTTTGTCCTAGTAAGGTCAAGATCTATTTTTCTTAAATTCTACTTCTCATTCTTTCTTCAAATGCAAATTTAGGTCATACTTAAGCATTTAGATATTCTGGATGTAGCATGTAAGGCATCTAATAATATACTAATGGATGTCCATTCTTGTGCCTCCACAGGACGACTTCCTAAAAAAATATTACTACTAAGCTAAGAGTCATTCAGGGATCCCACAGATATTTAAGCAATTGTTTTTAAACTGATCATCTCTCTTCCTCACACTTCCAACCCCTTTCCAGGTCGAGACCTCATGCAAAAACTGGCTCACCTGTAAGAATGTTCAGAACTCAAAGCGCTATGTATTGGATTTATAAGGAGGTGCCAACAGTAATTTAGCTGAAGCTCTACAACTGGAGACAGTGACAAGTTCTAAACTTGAGGTGGGAATTAGTATCAATAGCCGCAACAGCTGTGTGCATTATTCATAGATTCATAGATTCTACGATTGGAAGGGACCTCGAGAGGTCATCGAGTCCAGTCCCCTGCCCTCATGGCAGGACCAAATACTGTCTAGACCATCCCTGATACACATTTATCTAACCTACTCTTAAATATCTCCAGAGATGGAGATTCCACAACCTCCCTAGGCAATTTATTCCAGTGTTTAACCACCCTGACAGTTAGGAACTTTTTCCTAATGTCCAACCTAGACCTCCCTTGCTGCAGTTTAAGCCCATTGCTTCTTGTTCTATCCTTAGAGGCGAAGGTGAACAAGTTTTCTCCCTCCTCCTCATGACACCCTTTTAGATACCTGAAAACTGCTATCATGTCCCTTCTCAGTCTTCTCTTTTCCAAACTAAACAAACCCAATTCTTTCAGCCTTCCTTCATAGGTCATGTTCTTAAGACCTTTAATCATTCTTGTTGCTCTTCTCTGGACCCTCTCCAATTTCTCCACATTTTTCTTGAAATGCGGTGCCCAGGACTGGACACAATACTCCAGCTGAGGCCTAACCAGAGCAGAGCAGAGCGGAAGAATGACTTCTCGTGTCTTGCTCACAACACACCTGTTAATACATCCCAGAATCATGTTTGCTTTTTTTGCAACAGCATCACACTGTTGACTCATATTTAGCTTGTGGTCCACTATAACCCCTAGATCCCTTTCTGCCGGACTCCTTCCTAGACAGTCTCTTCCCATTCTGTATGTGTGAAACTGATTTTTCCTTCCTAAGTGGAGCACTTTGCATTTGTCTTTGTTAAACTTCATCCTGTTTAACTCAGACCATTTCTCCAATTTGTCCAGATCATTTTGAATTATGACCCTGTCCTCCAAAGCAGTGGCAATCCCTCCCAGTTTGGTATCATCCGCAAACTTAATAAGCGTACTTTCTATGCCAATATCTAAGTCGTTAATGAAGATATTGAACAGAGCCGGTCCCAAAACAGACCCCTGCGGAACCCCACTTGTTATGCCTTTCCAGCAGGATTGGGAACCATTAATAACAACTCTCTGAGTACGGTTATCCAGCCAGTTATGCACCCACCATATAGTAGCCCCATCTAAATTGTATTTGCCTAGTTTATCAATAAGAATATCATGCGAGACCGTATCAAATGCCTTACTAAAGTCTAGGTATACCACATCCACAGCTTCTCCCTTATCCACAAGACTCGTTATCCTATCAAAGAAAGCTATCAGATTGGTTTGACACGATTTGTTCTTTACAAATCCATGCTGGCTATTCCCTATCACCTTACCACCTTCCAAGTGTTTGCAGATGATTTCCTTAATTACTTGCTCCATTATCTTCCCTGGCACAGAAGTTAAACTAACTGGTCTGTAGTTTCCTGGGTTGTTTTTATTTCCCTTTTTATAGATGGGCACTATATTTGCCCTTTTCCAGTCTTCTGGAATCTCTCCTGTCTCCCATGATTTTCCAAAGATAATAGCTAGAGGCTCAGATACCTCCTCTATTAGCTCCTTGAGTATTCTACGCAACTTCCCCCTCAAAAATACCCTATAGCTGAGATTTTTCAGGAACAAGAGTAAAAAGACATTCCGAGCAGTGGTTCCCACAGTGAATTAACTCCATGACATTACATTTTTAATGCTTACGCCACAGTGTTTGTGTTCAAGTTTGAGCAAAACACCATGTGCAACTCTTCTGCTTTAATACTCTATAACCCTAATTTTCTGGTTAGCTGCATATAGCCAACATTCTGCAATGACCGGACTCACACACCTGCAGAGTTTTGGGCTTCAGCCCAACACAGCTCTTAAGACTGCAGAGCTAAAGCTGAGATTCACAGGATTAGCACCCCTCTCCAGTTTCACAGCACCAAGGCTTCTGATTACCTCAACCCCTCAATTTCACCCCAGTTTGGATGTTCTGAAACCGTCCTAAAAATTGGTCTAATGTGAGTGCACAATATGACAGAACTGAAGTTATTGTAGAAATGATAGATAAATGTCCTGACTTAACATATGTAAAATCTTAGCCCTTAAGGGAAACTTCAATGTAGTTTTTTTCCCCATTTAAATTGTGTGTGTGTGTGTTTAACTAGTTGTCTGCAAATTGTGTTTAAAAGCAGGAATATAAAAAATTATAAAAGTGAACAAGTAACGTAAGCGTTCATTAAGTCAAATAGACTCAACTCTCACTTGAGCACTATTTATAGTACAACTATGGTCATTTCTCAGATGTCATATAAAAAAATCTTAATGGGTGATTCAACCAGAATCTGAGACAAGTAATAAACAGCATTAGAGGAACTAGGTAAAAGTAAAAACTCATATGTGCATTGCATTTCTCTACACACAAACAGCCCAACACGGTATATCTGTTTAAAGGCATGCAGCAAATCTCAGAAAGCTGTGCATAGGTCTTCAAGAACTTAACACCATTAGCAGTAAATATTTCATACTGTAGCCTTTAGTTACCAACCTATAAAAACAGAATCGAATAAACAAACAAGGAAGAAACTAAAATAACCTTCTAATATCCAAGTGGTGATTAAAATTCAGTTATCTAGATTACAGGTCATTGACTGCACATTAACAGAAATTACTTCCATTTCAGTTTCTGTAATACAGGAATTAATCAAGACATTTGCTTCCTCGGGGAAGGTGAATATATAGCAATGAAGAACATCTCACTCTTGGTGGGAGAAGCAAGACATACTCCCACTCTAATTTCTTGAGTTTCTTAATTGTATCATACTCCTCTCTCTCTTACCTTCCTTTTTAAAAGAAACTGGGTGATCACTTACAAAAAATAACTCACGACTATATTTAAATGTATAATTACTGAAAAAATTATTCTATGCAGATAACCAGATAACTGCAGTGCGTGAGCTTAATTGATAGAGGAAAAACATAGCACAGCATGTGATTTTTCTCTTCTTTACAACTCTGTTTAATGAATTCTGTTCAGACTTAGAGCAGAAACTCCTCATTGGAAGTAATTCATCTTAAAAGGTTGGTATATGCTGTATTGTAGAATTGTAAGCACATAGAACATAGATGTAGAACTGTAAAATTATCTCTGTCTATCACCATACTGAGAGTGATGGCATAAAACAGTTACTTACCTTTCCGTAACTGTTATTCTTCGAGACATGTTGCACATTTCTGTTCCTCTGTAGGTGCACGCACGCCTCATGCACTTTTCTCCTCTCAGTGGTACCTGCTGAGGTGGCTGGAGTCCTCAGCTGCCACATGCTATTGTGTGCTGGTATAAGAGGACGAAGCCAACCTTCAACCCTCCCTCAGTTCCTTCGATAGAGAGGGAAAGGAGAATGGGTTGTGGAATGGACATGTGCATCACATCTCGAAGAATAACAGTCACAAATAGGTAGGTAACCAGTTTCTTCTTCAAGTGATTGCACAGGTCCATTTCACTTTAGGCGACTCAAAAGAAAACATGCATGAAGGTGGGTTTGGTGTCTACCAGAACAGAGATAGTAGGACAACCTGTCCGAAACTGCCATTGTCTCTGGACCGATGGGAAACGGCATAATGAGAAGCAAAAGTGTGGAATGAAAACCTTAAGTGCATGTGATTTCAGACAGAAAATGGGCAAGTAGATTGCTTGGTTAACATGAAAATAAGGGACTACTTTTGTAAGAAATGTGGGGTGAGGGTGGAGATAAACTTTATCCTTATGGAAAACTGTGTAAGTGGGCTACGACACTGGAACTCTCAAATTGCCCACTCTTCTGGCTGAAGTAATTGCCACTACAAATGCTACCTTCATGGAAAAGCGAAGGAGAGATCAAGTTGCCAGTGGCTCAAAGGGAGGTCCCTTCAATTTTTCTAGAACTAAGCTCAGATCCCAAAGAGGGATGGCGTCTCACACATGTGGGTATAATCGGACCAAGCCCTTTAGGAACTGGGTGACAATGGGGTTTGAAAAAAGGGATCTATCATCCACCAAGAAACGGAAGTCTGAAATAGCTGCTGAGATGCACTCTTATAGAGCTAATAGCCAAACACTGTTGTAGAATTAGCAGATAGTCCAGCAGAAGGCCCAAGGGTGCCTCCTCTGGAGATACACCTTCCGCAAGAGACCAGGTGGAGAAGCACTTCCATTTAGCCAGGTAAATATTCCTAGTTGAGGGGTTTTTGCTATTCAGAAACACTTTCTGAATGTCCTTTGAGCAGGATTTCTCAAAGCATGTCAGCCATGAAGCATCCACGCTGACAGACAGAGAGCTCAGAGGTTGGGTTGGAGCAGACATCCGTGGTCCTCGGAAATTACATCTGGATCCAACAGGAGAGACGGGGAGGCTCGACAGACAAGGATAGCAGGGTCGACTCAGTGCTGATGAGGTCACGCCGAGAAGACAAAGGGAATTGGAGGGAAAGAGTATAGGAAAGATTTCTTCCTGGATAGGAGAAAGGCGCTGAGTCCTCCTCGGGGACAAAACTAATATTTTTTGTTGGTTCTTGTTGAAAACAGGTCCACTTGGGGAGTCCCCCACAGTTGAAAGATGAACCTAGCCACATCTGGTCATAATGACCACTCCTGGTAATCGGAGATGGATCTGCTCAGCTGATCCGCTACTGTGTTTAGTTTCTCTGGAAAATACGCAGCTCTGAGATTAATTGAGTTGGTTATACACAAGTCCCAGAGGCAAACTGCCTCCTGGCTCAGTTGGTTCAACCATGCCCCTTCTTATTTGTTTATGTAAAACATGGTCACCAAACTGTCAGAATTAACAAATTTTTTCCCAACTATGTGGGGGTGGAAGGCCAAGCAGACTAGACATACCACTCTTAACTCCCTGACATTTATAGAGTCTCTAAATCTTGCGACAAAGACCTTAAGTCTCCAGGGACCGTCCATGAGCTCCCCAGCTCAGAAAAGTCACATCTGTGACTAGAGTGAGGTTTGGTAGTGAGGGGGAGTAAGGGAACCCTTATGCACTCTTTCAGAGGGTTCATCCACCAGTTGAGAGATGACAAAATTCATGTTGGCACTCAAACCAGTTTCTCTAAATGGTGACAAATTGGAGCATAAACTGATGCAAGCCATGTTTGCAGCTTTCTGAGGTGTAATCTGGCGTGATGAACTACATACTGCCATGTGACCAAGGAGATTGAGGCAGCTGCATACTATTGTGACAGGGAATGCTCTCATTTGCAGCACTAAGTCCCTGAAAGTTTCAAACCTGGCTTGGGGCAGAAAGGCCTTGGAGTTCAGAAAAGGAGTGAGGGAAGCACTTGAATTAACAGGCCTGAATTGTTCCAACAACTGTCACTATCAGTAAGGAGGAACTGAAGCGGGTTGGGGTGGCTCTGTCCCCTTATACCATCGACAGAAGGCACTCCAGCCACCCCGACGGGTACCGCTGAGGGGGAAAATGTTCCAACGTCTGTGCACAGGGCACACTCACACCTACAGTGGAATGGAAATGTGCAATTACTCGAAAAAGAAATTCCTTTTCCTCAAACCTTTCCCAGTAGATTTCCCCCACCCAGGCACTGCCCTTGCATATTCTGCAGACAAGTCATAGTATCAAGTTAGGCAGATCATTACTGGCTCAGGTGTGTAAGCTCCTTGGAGACCCATTTTCCTTACCTTCGTGTTGGCGCATGCTTTCCCCTTCTTGTAGTCTTTGTGGCTGCCCCTCTTGTCTATCTTGGCCCAGAGGGCTTTGGCTTTCCAGTAGTTGAGCTTGGACTTGAGTTTATGATAGAAAGAACGATAGTCCTTGGGCTTTAGCTCTAGGTAGTCACAAAGCTCTTGGAAAGCTTTCAGAGTCCCCTTACAGGTTGTGGCCTGGACAAATCTGTCGAAGAGAATGTGGGCTTGGTTCACCTTCTCATTCCTGCTTTCCTCCATGCTTCTCACTCAACAGCTGCCCTAGTTGGTGTGGGGTCAGCTGTGCTCTTCCAGTCTGGTGGCCTTCCTGATGTTGCTCTGCCCAGCCACTTCCACCTCTAGCCCACAAGCATTATTAATCTAGAAAGTAAGAGAGAGAAATGTCAATGAACTTGCATTTACTCATGTTTCTAGAGTTACAACTTTGATCACCTAAAGTAGTTCAATCTTTCCACACATAGCAAGGCAATGGTCCTCATTGAGGCCAGTTGAATATCACACAATTGGAGGTTCTCAGCCAAGCTGATGGAGATAAAACATTCTAAACAAAATTATTAGAACTGTTTTCAAACAGTTAAACATCTGATTTTTTTTAAGACCATCAAATCATGAATGCTCTGACTGAGTCCCTCCCACACTCAAGTTTTTCCAAACATTTTTTTCTTTTGTGCTCCATAGTCAGAAGTTTGAAGTGAATTGGATAAATTTTGGCGAAGTTGGGGTGAGGAGGAGGAGGCAGTGCTTAAATAAAACAAAACAAAAAACACATCAGGCTTTTAATTGTAATGAAAAGCTAGACATAACCATAGCAGTGGAGAGACCAGTACCTCCATAACACAGCTGTGCTTACATCTAGCTCCTCTTACGAACACCAGCACCACCAACATAAGAAAAAGTTGCAAGAGTTGAGATTCCACCAGCACAATCAATGCTGGTTCTTTCATTCAACAAGAGACATTCATCTCTACATACAGCACCCGGAGAAGAGGAAAGAGCATGTTGAAGATGGTGCTACTGGGCTGAAGAAGCCTCAAACACAGTGACGTTAAAGAGTGACCTAAGGAAAGTGATTGTGGCTACTTCACTTCAAGGAAGTTTAACCTGCAAATGGCAACCAAATGACTGAGGAAGAAAAGACAACAATAAAAATTAAAATATCTAACTCATTTCATCAGTAGATCTCACAGTGCTTTACAAAGGAGATCAGTATCACTAGAATGAAAAAGATGCCTCCAGTGTACCTGCTCCATCACACTAGGGCATTCACTTTGCCCTGTCTAGCCTCTCTGTGGGTATTCTTCTGGCCTTAATTGCTTTTTGGAAACTCGATATGATGGAGTGATTTGGATGCTCTATTATCATCACTGTAAACTCTTCCTTTTAGGGGTATAGCATTTTATATGAACTCATTAAAGGCAGCTTTGCAGTTTTTGCTGAAAGAAAAAAGGAGGCTAGGGCAGAAAAGGAATCTAAGGATTCAGATAAAAAAACTTTCAGATTCTCACCAGAAAGGAAGCCAAGTCAAACGTTGCAGCTCATATCGATGCCCCAATAGGTCATAGCTTTGCAGCAGTTTGTTTGGGCACGTTGCATCATACCCCGACAGGACAGTGAATACTCAGCGCTGGGAATGGTGGAGTAGGCTGATACCCCATTACACAACACAGAATTCTTTTTTTGTTCGAAAGAAATAAATTTTCACCTACAGAGTCCAGAGCATGGCGGCCAGTTTACACAACTCGCACTTCATTAGGGCAACTATTTTAGTGCACTGAAGTGGTTTCTCTGATTGGCTGCCAGTAGTTATGGCCATATCAGTAACATCCACTAAGTGGCATGGAAATGACTATCTTCCTTATTTTTAATCTTAATTCCCATTTCACAAGAGTGAAAAGGCTCTCCAGGCTGTGGCTCTCAAGGCATACTTTTCCAGGAGTTGAAGTCACTGTGCTTTAAGTCTTGAAAGAGACAAAATGTCGCCCGTCTTCTAACCCCAGAGGCGTGCTAAAAAGCACTCCAACATAATGCTTGTCATGTTGGATTGCTTACTTCATTTACATCTGTGTAATGCTAACTGTAAACCCTCCCCCCAATTAGCTAAAAGATTCAGGGTACAACTTCTGTTTTGTGTTGTGTCTACTTGTCCCTCACCATTACTCAAAGATCCTAACACTCAGTGTGATCCTTGCATTAAATGCTATCCAGGCTTCCTATCACTTACAAAATGCTTCCCAATAATGAATAATCTAGATTAAGGGACATAAACCCCCTGCAGATAATGGCAATTTCGCAGAGAAGTCCATTAGTCTACAGAGCGTTATTAATGCACCAGATCCAAGCCACCACAGGATTCATTCCTTAATGCTGCCTCTATTTTTATTTCACCAAACCAATGCAGCAGGATGATCCTGCAGTGGAGTCTCCCTGTGGGCTAAACCCAAAACTGCTACAGTTCCAGCAATCTATTTCTTTGTGTTTAAACTGTGCCAAGCCATGACCTTCTTTTGTAGGTTTGTCTCATTGTACACAGCTTAACCAAAGTGGTGTATTAAATATTGGGGGGGGGGGGGGGGAGGAGAGACAGGACTCCTCTTCACACTCCACTTTATAAAGGGCTATATTTAAGCCACTTATTTTTAAAGAAGAAATTCAGCTGTTCTTTCTGCATGTAGCTTCACTGGATTTCCATTTACCTCCCACTCCCACAATTTCTACATTCTTGATGCAAAAAACTGAAGCCCCTGAAATCTGAGGGCAACAAGCCAGAGATCACAGGGACTACAGGAGCCAAGGCAAGGACAGGCAGAAGTATTTGCCAGGTTTCCAGGGTATAAGTATGTGTCTCTGGCTTTTCTGCAAGTCCGCAGTATCCTGCACGTTTTGTCTCGAGGCAGCTGATTGCTGACTCAGAAGCTCTGCACATTCCTTGGCTACTCCACTGAAGTGTTGGGAAAGAAAGACAAAGCCCATGAAGTGCATGCAGGAACAGGGCTCATGTTTCTATGTACATGAATAGCAAGAGGTTGTCACTGACTCATGGTTGCAAGTACGCTCAGGATCTCCTGCTCATGTCAGGACAAAAGAAACCAACAAAAATAAAACATACTATGAATGATTCCAGGTGCTGTTTCCTCCCTACAGTCACCACAGAATGTTAATTTCAAAGTTGCATAAACATTTGAACAGATGTGCACATGGTAAGAGAACGGGTTGCCTGCAAAACTCATTCCCATCCTGGCTCTAAGTCCAATTTAGCAAGTTGGAAGAGGTCTTGGAGGTGATGTGTTCTTTGGAGTTTGATCATGCAAGTGACTGGGAAAGCATTTGATAGAACAAACATTTTTTTCTTCCAAGCAATATTCATCCCTTCTGAGGTTCTTGAGATTTCATAACCAGCAAAAAAAGTTAAAAGAGGCAAGACAGAAATGCTCCGAATCTTTGATCTTTACAGGCATCAGCCTGAGACACCTCTCAGAACTTAAACTTCTGAACAAGCTAGGATCTTTCATATAATTCAGTACAAAACGGTTATTCCAAACAAAAAGCTCCTTTTAATGCAAAGATTGTTTTATTTATTACAGATTGAATCAAAGAAATGGCCCCCTCTGCAGAACATCCAACTCATGCTAAATGACATGTGGATATTTACTGGCCTTTTGGGTTGGAGGGCAAGGCCAGTCAGGCTGTAAAACAAAATTCAAAATGGATTGCTATAACTAGAGTTATAAACTACCCCACTTATTTTTGCCCCATATTATACAGACAAGAAATGGGGAGATAGGAGGAGCAAAGATGCAGCTGCAATGTTTGTTGCTTCCCCTCCACAACTGAGAGCAGAATGCCAACATCATGAACAGTATGTTTTAAGATGTTATTTAAATCTGCCTCCGTTCCATAAAATTTAGCAGACAGGAAAACATACTGGACATTAGATCTGTTTGTCTTCTAATAAACTAACCAAAAGTTCAGCAGGGGCTGAAGCATTTTGGTTTTCATCGGTCTCCTCTGAACGTATTCTCCAAGGTGGAACACAGGTGGGAGAGGTATAGCCCATATAAAAACTAAGTTGCCCAGATGAGAACCTGCTCTTCCTAAAGGAAAACAGTGCATATTAACTGCTCACAAGGAGTGAGTCTGCACCTCAAGAAAATTCCCCCCCCCCACCCCCCCGAAAAAAAGATTTAAAATAAATGCCTCAAAAGGGAAGAGAATGTATGAGCTGGTGACTGCAAAAATGGCTACCTGGAGAGGTTTGGGCCAGTTTATACTATATCCAGGGAATCTTAGGTTTTTACCCTGTTCACCACGTACGGTTTAGGTATACTTGGTGCCACCTCAGAGCACCGAGCTGGACTAGATGACCTCTTGCGGTGCCTTCCAGTCCTACTTTTCTAAGATTTTATGATTCTATATTCACTGTGTCAGTTGCCTTGAAATAAGCACTGCAAGTGTCTGAAAAATGGATTGAGATGTTGTCTAGATTCACTGTGGCAATAATTACTTCCCTGAACTCAACTAAAATGCTATTTTGCATCTTCCTACTGCATTATCCTTAGACTTGGCAGAATTTTATTTTTATTTTTTCATAATTCTGGCAGATCATACCTATGTTTATTTTTAAGCATTTTTCCTGATTTTTAAATCGATTTACATTTTCATATGTGCATGAAATTATGGGGCTTTCAAACAGTTATTTGAAGATAGTCTCTCAAATTCTCAAGCAGCATTTTTCCTAGCTGTAAAATTTGATTATTACTGATAGAAATATTGTTGTTGGTTTGTGTGTGTGCGCACCGTGAAATTAATGTTAACTGACATTGACTGATAAAAATCTAATGCTTCCAAGCCTACTTACCCTGTGACCACAGCAGAAGTTCCTACATTAAGAGCGCACCTAAATGGGGACAAAGACAAATGGACAGCCTTCTTCTACAGCAGGGGTTCTCAACCTTTTTCTTTCTGAGGCACGCCCACCCCCAACATGCTATAAAAACTCCATGGCCCACCTGTGCCACAACTGTTTTTCTGCATATAAAGGCCAGGGCTGGCAAGGGGTAGCAAGCAGGGCAGTTGCCCAGGGCTCCACGCCAAAGGGCACCCCGCGAAGCTGAGTTGCTCAGGCTTCTGCTTCACTCTGGGTGGTGGGGCTCAGGACCACGGGCTTCAGTTCTGTGTGGCAGGGCTTAGACTTTCTGCCCTGGGCCCCAGCGTGTCTAACACTGGCCCTGCTTGGCAGACCCCCTGAAACCTGCTCATGGCCCCCCAGGGGGCCCTGGACCCCTGGTTGAGAACCACTGTTCTACAGTGTGATTAGAATAGGGAGACCAGAT